AGTACATTGCATTGGTTTTGAAGTATGCTTTTGTCGTAGTTCACAGTTGAAGTTGTTCAATATTCTTCCAGAAAAAGTAATGATTAAAGAAGCAGAACACTAAAGTAACATTCACACAGTACTATCGGTTGGAAGTGCTCTCTAAGAAATTGATTATAACGTGGAAATAGACAGATGCAATCATGATTTGACTGCAGGTCCTGAAACTTGAAAAAAATCCAGAAAGCTGAAATGATTATTCAAGTTGTGCTTCAACTGTTAATTTTCTCATGGGAGCATTTCTCTGCAGCAGGAATGGATGTAATCTCAACCTTGTAAACTTCAGTTATTTCAGACACGTAAGCAAAGCAAACCTCAACACATTTGTCGGTTGAGCAAAAGACATCTACACCTGTAAAACCAGTGGTTGCGGGTTCGAATCCCACCCAAGCAAATCTGTGATCTTTTAGCTCTTGGATCGCACTGATGGTACAGATTCTTAATCAGTTATATTGTTGAAGGGAACAGCACACAGTCCAATTCATTGTGTGATTTGTTCTTTGCAGAAACTTCAGAATTCGGAGCAACCTGAGAATTCAGAGGCTGTCATCAAGTTGCTTAAGAACAGACCGTCAAGCTGGGCAGAGTGCATCAGCATAGCTAGGATCAAATTTGAAAAATATTTCAATCACAAGGTACGAGATTCAATTCCAAAATTGGCTTGATTTTTCTTAATTTGAGTGTTGGAGGTATTCCTTTATGATACCTGGTTTGTTGTTTTTCCTCTTTCAAACCCATTTCTTCTTTTTCAAACCCATTTCTCATTCCTCTTTTTCAGCCTGTGAAAATGATTCTTTTTGAATTGAATTGTTACATATATTTAACAATGTACCTTAACTTCATAAAAATTCCTTGAAACATTACTGAAATCCACAAACAACAAACAAATGGCACATTTCTCTCCCAAGTACAGTGTAGACGCCAAACCCTATGTCAAATACCTCCGTATTTCATACATATTCATGATCAAGAATTGAATTCTCATTGGTCCATTCTTTACCACTTGCCATTTTCTGTTTTTGCGCATCCGCATTCAAGCAAGTCAAATAGCTGACCTGATCTTCTCATTCCTGATTGGTTGTTCACAGGCCAAGCAGTTACTGTCTGCCTTCCCATTGGACCACAAAATGAGCGATGGAAGTAAGTCACAGGACAAGTAGTTCGTGTTTTCCTTTATGAATGGAATGAAGATAAAGTGATTTTATAACAAAATATCTTTATTGTGAAAAAAAATGGCAGGCATCTCCAGATGTCTACATAAGCTTTGTCATTACAGGAGTTGCCGTAGTAAATACTCCTCTGACATATTAATGATTGAGGTTTTTCACCACTGAACACAGATTCTAGAATGGTTATAGCAATTATTGATGAAAGGTCCAATTGACTTGTTTCCTTTCCAGCGCCATTTTGGCAATCCCCAAAACGACCACCAGCTCCGGTTGTCTTTGACACTTCAAGTGAACTGTAAGTGTGCAGTTTACATTCCCTCTTTTCATGAACATCAGGGCCAACATCGATCAGTGACTGTTTGCCAATTCTTGGGTCGACTCTCCCTGAAAATCTGTGCACAATATGTATCCTGCATTCTAGGATAAATTCACCAGTGTTTGTTTGATTGCCAGTGATCAAATTTGGCTTTGCTTCTTGTCTTAACCAAAACAGTGCAGTTGTGTATTTATTCTGTGACCCTCTCACATTACCGACTAGTCACATGGGCTGCCATAGTTTGCAGAAATATCGTCCTTAGTTGTTGTCAGATTTCACCTCAAAATGTGTACATTCAGTCACCCCACTCATTTGATATTTAACCACTTACTGCCGGGTGGATTTTTCTTGAGCAAGACAAGATGCCAGGTCCTTTTCAAGATTTTCCGTTTTCAAAATTCTTCAAATATTCATCATGTCATTTAATGGCCGTTTATACCTACATGAAGGACTCTTTGGGCACTACTCTAAAGCTGACAGTTACCCTCATTGACTTTTGAATATTTCAGCCAGGCCTGCAGCCTTGGAAAAAGAGCCCAGATTGTGCGGCATTTGCGCGGTCTTTTGTCATAAGGCCCAACTCATTTGTCCCAGTTCTGGGCTCCCTGGCTCTGCATATAAAGCCTATGTACTCAAAAACGGGTTGCCCGGCAGGAAGTGGTTAATTACAGTGTTTGTTATTTGGTGTGTTGAGATACCTGACTGAGAATGATTTTAGAATACTTAATGCTTACTCTTTTGCTCGTTAACGGGTGGCCAGCCATAGGTTTACTGGCCCTTGAAGGCAAAAAAAAGACTGTAATGTAAGAAAAACCAGACTCTAAACATTTAACACATGGCCTGTCTGTCTTAGACTAAAATACAGTTTTCTTCTGAGACTACTGGGGTCAAGTTTGTGGCATTTAATTTCACCGATTTAGACACATGCTGTTTGTCGTCAGTACGGCTAGACTCACCGCAGCATTCTGTGACATTCCAGTATCACAGCATGACCTCAGCACAGACACATTACTGCGGATACTGTCTGGGGTGAAAGTTCCACAGTTCCAACTGTCCAATAAGGTGGGTCATCAGTGTCAAATAATTTGGGGGTCAGTGGTTGAAAAAAGGATTTTAGGGAAATATAAAAGTAATTACAAATCACAGATATGTGTCTTTATATGAAAAATCAACAAGCCCCTTTGACAAAGTTGATATTGCGTGACGAGAAATGATTTCAGTTAGAGTAGACCGTCTGAAGCTATAACAAAGATAACCAATTTGTTGTGACATCCTGCTGGTCTGCATTCTAGTTTGACATTAATTTGTAGCTCTATGCCAAATAGAACATGGTGACTTGTGATTAGAATTATATAACCCAGAAACTACATGCCCTTCCTCAAATACATTCATAGTGCACATGTATTCATAAGCTAAAACATAATCGAATTAATGTAAGCAACCATTGTGAGATTTTGATTTTGTTTTGCTTAAATGGAAAACTGGGACAAATGATCCACTCTACCTGCAAAATTTAGAGCCAAAAAACTTGATCTCACTTCAAACTCACGAAATCAGGAAATTTCTTAAAAGCTACTCACTGTTTGATATGAATTGATTTATAAAGTTATTTGCATGGCATTTTGACTTGTGCAGATAACTTTCAAACTCCATTTTTATATTATTTTTGCAAATTTCAACCTTGTAATTGTGAGATAAACTGGGCTTTTAAAAACTTGTCTGTTGCAATGGATTGTTGACCAATGAAATCAGCCAATTAGATCATGAACATGCGTGTGTATATGAAACATTTCATGTAGGTGATTGAGACGGAGGTAACATCTCCAACGAAACCTGAGCATTCGGAGCCCTCCGTGACAGCGGATGAGATAGAACACTGCCAACAACAACTGGCACAACTGATAGCCAAGAAGAAGGCAACAACAAGTGTGTATCTACACGGAGGGACTGACTCCCCCCCCCCGAAAAATTTGTTTCTAGTCTTCAGACATCAATGCAGGATGGAACAAACACTCTTGAGATCCCTTGGCTGTGTTTGGTGACTTCTAATTGTCGTGAAATAGGCAATCTATTTTTGTCAGTCTCCGCTGCCAAGAAAAGTTTAGTTATTTTTTTAGGTTTTTGTGGGGGTTCTGAATTTGTACAGGTACTAAATTAATGCAAGTCCTAAAATTGACAGGTACTAAAAATTCATAGCTTCTTAGAATTGTATGCAGGCATTTTAAATTCCATACCAGTTGGTAAATTTTGAGAAGGTCTTTTATGGTACGTAGTTACACATAGGGATGGAGCTTCCACAATGCTAGATTTGTAGCCATGCAAATTTGGCACTGGTTTTAGATTTGCAAAAAATGGCAAGTTACGGAGGATTGATACCTAATAAAGATGGTTCCAAGAGTCAGATTGACTTTACATTAAAATCTCATTCCTTGACATGTACTTTCTTGCTGCTGTACCAATTCAGCTCACTGTAGGATGATTCCCGCTGAGTTTGAGAAAGATGATGACACCAACGGTCACATAGATTTCATCACCTCAGCGTCCAACCTCCGGTCAACCATGTACCACATTGAGCCCGCTGACCGCTTCAAGACCAAACGCATCGCTGGCCGAATTGTACCGGCCATCGCCACGACAACGGCTGCTGTGGCCGGACTGGTAAAGCACAACAGTACTTGATTGATAATGCAAAATGGGAGTTAGGGGACCAGCCAAAAACCTGGGTGTGTACTGTTTGTTGGAAATTGAAGGCTTTTTTAAAGTCAGCACTCTTATGGAGAAATCTATATTGTCTGTGTTTAGAGGAGGATAACCAAAATTGTTAATTACTTTCCCAAACCCAAGTTCCTGTGTTCCTGAAATTCAGAAGAGATGCTGGTGTCCTGCTACAAAAGGGACAGGCCAACCAAAAGAGTACCACGTAGGAAGATTAGATAAACTCAGAATGTTACAAATGTTCCATGGGAAATGTCGCTCATTCTAGTTTGGAATAGAAGCTTCTCCTCGAGAGAAATCTGAGTACTTCAGGTATGTCAATTTTAGACTGGTTCATCTAGGAACACTCTGGTCCATGACCGCACCCACACAGAGAAACTCTTTGCATAGCCAGTAGGCCATCTTCTGAATTATGTACATTTGTTGGCAAGATGACCCTTTTATCAACATCTCTGATTCATTTCTTTCTGCAGGCCACTTTGGAATTGATCAAGTATATTCAAGGTGCCACCCTGTCCGATTATCGTAACTGCTTCCTCAACCTAGGCCTGTCACTTATCATGTTTTCCGAGCCTGGCCCAGCTAATGTCACCACCATCAAACCGGGGTTAAAGTTCACACAGTGGGACATGTGGCATGTACACGGACACAAAGGTTACACACTCCAGGATTTCACCCAGCACTTCAAGGTAGATGTAATTTCAGATTGAAATTTTACACTGAGGAGGACTAACTGTGGACAGTTTGTGTATGCTTATGGACTGTTTCTTCTTAGTTTCCATTGTAGAACTGGAAACCTCCACAGATTATTATAATTTTGAAAATCCATGTCACCATTATATTTAATCATTTGAATAAATTCTTTATTATTTCTTCATCACGCTTTGATAGTGTACCTGAATTTCTCACTGTTGATGACCAAAGTACCCCAATTTTTCAGGAACCTGAGGGGGGGAATTATAAACAAAACCCCACCTCATGTGATTAGAATGGTCCGTAATAAATACCATGGTGGCCCAATTTTGCAATATGCCATCAGTGGTTAAAAGGTCCAAAGACTGAGATAGTGAGAACCTTTGATCTAAAGCCAAGGGTCGGTTTCTCTGTGAAATTTGACAGGTTTGTGTTCAAACAGTTCCACATTGGCCATTCAAACAGTCAGTATGTCCTCATGTACTGCCATCACAGATTTGGGGCCTACGTGTGTCGGACAATAGTTATTCTGCGGACTGACTTGTAATGGGGACCAAGTTTTTGTCCCCACACATCGGTTCGGAATTCTTTGACAAAAGAATGTCAGGACTTAGGTGAGTTAGTGACATAACACTGTTCGTAGTTCCAGCTGAGACCCCGTTAGTAGGGCTGACGCATTCACAGTAACCTGTCGCGGTAAGTCATCATATACATTTAGATTCTTTTGATCAAGTTTTTGAGTGATTTGGGTGATTTCTGCAGGAGAAGTATGATATGAGTGTGTCTCTGGTCGTGCATGGAGTCAAGATGATCTTTGTGCCCATGATACCCGGACACATGAAGAGACTTGGCAAACGGTGAGGTTTACGGGCGTGTCATTTCTTAGGATTTTACAGCTATTTTGGAAAGTTAACCCAGAAGTTCTAGATTTGTAAAGTTTGTTCAATCAGGTTCTGCTGTTTTGTTTTTGTGAGATTTTCATCATCGCAGTCATTTGGGAGAGAACTCACATTCCTTGCTACCTATCAAACGTTCTGACATTCCAGCGTTTTATTATTGTCATGGTCACAACCCATGTTTTCCAGTGTTTTGCAGATTTCTCTTCAATGGTCCATCATATCTCTGGTCTTATTCTTCAGACTAGCAGTGAACAGATTCGTCTTAGAGTTCACTAGCACGGATTCTCAAGATCTTGAATTTCAATGCATCATCTCTCTGGCAGATAAATTAAAGAGCTTTGGCATACATAAGGACAACTTTTTGAAAGTTACATGTGAACATTTTCAAGATATTCTGTATCACAGGGCCTGTATCAACATCAATAAACACAAAAGCTCTTTCAAAAACAATCAGTTCATCATAAAATAAATCAATCAATCAATCCCTTGTCTAAAGTTGGTGTCAAGTTAAATTGACTAATGTTCCTGGGAGTTTTTAATTGATACGAAAGGCAATGCCTCATTTTCACCCATGCTCATTAGGCTTATGAATTAGTCCTGAAACCAAATGTAGCCAGTGAACTACAATTAGCATATCTGCCCACTCTTGTTCATTTTATTCTTGGACGGGAGAAATGTAAATGGTGATAAACCATCCTTCCCAAGAACTCATGCACCACAATCCCATGTGCTTGATGTAAGCCCATCACTAATAGCCCATTCAATCTTCTGGCTTTTACTTTTTGACTGTTTCAATTGCAGCATGCTGGAGCTCCTTAAACCCAGCGATGGCGTCAAGTACATGGATCTCACCATCGGCTTTGAGCCTCCGTCGGAGGATGCTGATGAGGATCTACCAGCTCCTCCCGTCAGGTACCACTTTGCAAAGTGATGAGCCCGCAGCAGAATTCTTCACAGAGAACCTAACGCATCGTCCCTCTCCCCCACTTGCTTGTCATGTTAACCCCTTTGCTACGGGAAGCGGTAAGAGCCGCCGTGAAAATTGAGATTCCTCAGCCTGCTTTTCAGCTATTATTCTCGGCCCATGCTCAAGTGAACATGGTGAATGAAGGCAGACCCTGGCTTTTGTATATATGGTGATTGGCCTTTGTGTGTTGCCAAGAAATGAAAAGGCCGAATTTGCATCATAATCACCAGCGTCACAATAGTCCCCACTTTGAAAAGAGGTAACGGGAATGTGGAAGCGTGAATAGAGCCGCATGCCACCGAACAATGAGCCTTTTCACTGTGTAATTCAAAGCATGCAGAGCACGCAGGGCCACAAACCAAGAATTTGCGGTTTGGCAGGTGGCCTCCGTGGCCAAACGAGGCTGGAATTCTTGGAGTCGGCTTTCGGAAAAAAGTTCCGGCGTCAAGGGGTTAATGATCTGATCAAATGATCATGTGACCAAAATTGCACTGTCCTACAAACAACTGTTCCTGAAGGCTAGGCCAGACTTAGTACTCCGTAGGCCCTAGACACCAGTGCTCCACAGAGCTGTACTTCAACCGAAGGGAGCATCACCCATTTCATAGTGCTGTTAAGCACTGAAACTTTGCATTTCATGTTAATGCCAACCTGTATAGCAAAATACAATAGTATCACTCTTTCTGTAAGTTATGTACCAGCTAGTTTGAAGCTTTCCACAATCAAAAACTCAAAAAAAAAAGCACAGAAACTTGTTAAAGTCTTTCTTGTGTGTGCATGGTTGTCCTTGTGAGCTTGGAAGTTTCATGGCACATTGGGGGATTTTTAGGCTGTCAAATTTTTGCATAGGTCCAGGGCACAGTGTCTACCTTGTTGGATAAACTGGCCTTGTTCAAATATGATCAGATGCCAACCTTCCTTCACAAACTTAGAACAACGTGTACAGCAAGGTTTTCTTTACATGGGGAAGGTTTTCACAACTTGCATGCGGGTAATTCCAGAAATTAGGGGTCCAAACGTGTGACATTTCTGTGTACCTGTTACATCTGACCTTTGTTATTTGACATGGAAATATCACCGGAATTGATTTCAATCTATTTCTATTTGTTTAGGCAGGTAATTTGCATTAATTCATCACTCTTGAAAAGTAGACATTCCAGAAAATTCTAGAAAATGTGTGCAGAACTTACAAAATCATGTCAGATGTCACGCACGTGAAAAAAATGTGGACCCCTAACTTCTGGAAATGCCCATGTATGAGTGACACAAAGGGGATGCTTTAATTCAAGTGCACTTTTGCACTAACTGATCAAAGTTATGAAGAAATAGGGGTTACTATTTCCACGCATAGTGTCCATTGCTATCAGGATGCCAAGGTGAGTGAAGGGGACAGTGGGAAGGTGGCTTTGCCTCCCCCCCTGGATTTTTTGCTTTACAAATATGAAAGGTGATTTGGGAGGACTATTTAATTTCCCTTCCCAAAGTGAGTACAAAATCAGCCCCCCTCCATCAGATAGGCTTGTAAAAGGTCGCATCAAGTAATTCTGTGTCAGGACTGTACTTGGATAAACAAAAAATGACCCCATCCCTTGCATGTGGTGGATGATTTGTGTTAAGAAATGGCAAAGTATGTTAATCTTGTGTTCCTGATGAAGATTATATGGTCAAAATTTGAACATGCAAAAAAAAAATTATTTCTACAATAAGGCTTTTTAAAATGCCACGACCTGATAATTTCAGGTAGACGTAACAACCAATCTCATTAGCAAGTGGAAACCCCAAATGAAATGTAATTCAATTTCAATGGAATGATTCGCAGCAGGTCGATGTTCAGTGTAAATTACAAGAAATGAATTTCAGCTGTTGATGTGAACTTGCTGTTGTGGGTTATATCTGTAGTAAACATTGTCTCACAGCATTTCAATTGTTATTTTTGGTCACCACTGATCAAAGCCCCCTATTTTTTATATAAATATGAATGCTTGCTAAAGATATTGTCATGAAATTACATTTCCATTCTATAGTGGAGTTATTTTCTTTGTTTATACGCAGAAATAAGAGTTTTGAAAGTTTAGCATGATATACAGCTTTTGTTTATTAATGTTGTACCCATCATTACAATGATATCAATACAGTCACCCAAAACTTATGCAACACATCAAAGATAGTTATTACACGGAAAGATATGAGTACTTGTGTAATCTTATATGCATGATTAATATCAAGCTGTTAAAAAAAATATTTATAACAATGTATCAAAAGAGTGGTTATTGGTGGTGAAATTAAAGCATTCACAATGGAACCAAATTGTTTTGCATATTTTTATACAGCCTAGGTTAGCAAGTCTCTCTTTGGCAAGTCATAAAGTACCTAATTATGAAGAAAACAAACCACAAACTCTTGTCTGATGCACCTTTGATATCCATTGTACTGCTGCCAATTTGTTTGTGTCAACTGCACATCTATGAAATAAGGAATCAGAAAGTGATCACGTCAAATCACAGATTTGTGTGTTTTGTTTACTTCTCTCATGTTGTAAAGAGACAGAGTACATGGTCTTGTCCTGAGTATTTTATTTTGAAGTAGTGCCTACAATTCAGATATTACAAAAGTGCTGAAATGTCAAAATCAGAGGTCCAAAAAGGCTAAGTATTGTTCACTTTTTTACCCTCCAAAACTCAGGTCTGTGAGTAAATGTCTGACAATTCAACTTCCATTTTGTCAAAGCAACTGATGTCAAACAGTCTGTGATCTATTCAAAGCAGTGGCGTAGCTAGGATTTTACTAGGGGGAGGGGGGCGACCTGAGGGCACTGGGAATTTGTGGGGGGCACTGATTCCAAGCCTTACAGTAGCAATAGACCTCTGTGATAAGGAGTCAACACTTTGTTTATATGTGTATGGTTGCCCATGGTGCTGAGTGGACCGGCGCTTATAAGGTGTGGCGTCATCAGTATTGTCAACTATTGGATGCACATAATGCTCGAATAAAAAGCACCCAAAAGTTTACTGTCCGTTAACAAAGACTAATGTTGGTTTTTCATCTGTGAAATAGTAAAAATCGTTGTTCATGTCTATCTTCAAAAACCTCTTGAGAAAAAAATAGTGTGCCACAATGGTGTTGCGAGCGTTCATGGATTCCATGTACAGAAAGTTACTGGTTCAGAGAAAATTAGAAAGTTCCACAAAGGAAGGAAACAGGTACAGGACAAAATCTCATTCTGCTATAGTCACAGAGCACTGATCAACTTAGATGCTAAGCAGAAAAACTAGCTAGGAACTAGTTACTGAACATGAGAAGCGTGTCATAATTTTGGCCAGTAACCCATTTCTGCTAAGTGACTCATGTCTATGCTTACATGTCATCACGTCTGGGTATGGTCCCTCAATGAGCCAATTCCAGCGATGGTGGTTACAATTTCAATGTGCTGCTTTATGCTGGTATTTTTCTAAAACTATATCAAACGTGTAGGTTTTATCATGTTCTTCATAATCAGTGGGCTCAGTCATATTTGTAGTCATTTGAATAAATTGTCAAGAAATAAAAGTTTTCTTCTAATAGCTGCATAATATAAAAATTACCAATAGTCCATCCTTGCCAGCTTCAAGATAATTTTAGGTTATTCCTTTTTTCAAAATTATTTACACATTCAAGTATTTCCATAGTTCTACCAAAAATATAAAATAATTATGAAAATCTGTTACATATGTTGACAAATGCTGCCTGCTTAGCGCCAACTTATCTCAGCCAACTGTACAAAAATGCTACAACAAAATGCACGGATAATCCATTAAATATTATTCACATCTGCTGAAAAATATAAGCAAGATAGATTTGTACTGAAAAAGGAACCCAACAATTGCCTTACAAAGTTGTCCGAGTAAAAAATAATTCAGAGGAAGCAACTGGCATGTGACATTACAAAGTACAGTACAAAATACCAAACAGTCATGGATTCAAAATATCAAGTTAAAGAAACTGTACAATCCTTTGGATAAACTGCAACTTTATCCAAAGGATCTTCAAGCTAACCTCACTAAATAAATATCTACATTGTTTTATTAATACGTGATCTTGTTTCAAGGAAACGGCTGTACCTTGCTGATTTGGGCAATAATAACTGCTTAATGAGCATGTAAAAAAAAAAAAAAAAAGCCAAGCGTTGCCACCTGCATTCAGATGTGAGCACAGAATTCTGGAGTTTTGTCACTAGACTTACCGACATTCCAAAGATACACAACTGTTCCTTATTTTTGATTACACAGGAGACGAGAGTACTTTAGTATACAGGCCTGAATGGCATTGACATGGAATTATTAAACACCACCAAAGTTGAACCATTACACCAACCACAAGATGATACAATCTTGCAACATGAAATTAAGGGCCTTATCGAGACATGGCAATTGGCTGTTGATAATAAAAACTAATTGCGATCCCTTGATACCCAGGCACCTTTCTCACAATATGTGCTGCACATTGAAAAAAGACAAGAAGAAACAGAACTGAGCCAAAATATGAGTAACTTTGTGTCCCACTGCAAAGCGCATCATGTACATGAACGGCATTGAATTTGTCATTTCCCTACACAATATCATTATCTCGATGAACCTTTCAATCTTTGATAACTGCAGGTGCAACATTAAACTTCACAGACAAACCACATATATTATACCAACCTTTTTCCCTCACCATCAAACATTCCGAATGTTCTTCAATGCCCAGAAAATTTAAATATGTTCAACAGGAAACCAAAAGCAACATAGGTCCGAGGTGAACATTACTATTGTGGAATGATTAAATGTTTGGAAAGACATTTCCTTATAAAGAGGTAGGGTTCAACTGCGAGCAATACCTGAATGTAATTTATCTAACTACCCCCCAGGCAGATGTACAAAAAGCTCATTTTATTCTTTTTGCAACTGATTATAATGAACTTACCAAAATTGGTATTTTCAAATTCAAAGAGCAAGTCTCACACATTCTTCCATCAACAAAAGAACATACACTAATGTGTCTCTTTGATTCTGAGTACAAGCCAGCCCAGTGAGTAAAACAAATCAAAAAGCAAATTCTAGATCCTGTTTTCAATGCGTCCTTTACCTAATACACAATAAACAATATTTACAATTTACTAGTCTCATACACACAAGGCTTTGGGTGGAAGTTCAGAACTGCCCTTCGTTGATGTCACACCCAACATAACTCCAAGTGCAACATAAAACTTCACAGACAAACCACTTCTTTCTGTTAGTTACTTGGACATAAGGGAAAGATGGAGATTTCAAAAGTCCCAAGTTCCTAAAATATACCAAAGGAAGATCTTGTAGGATAAACTTCATCGAGGTCAGGAAACACTGATGCCAAAATTCTTCTTGGATATGAAGCAGCCACCAACAGTTCTCCGAGTTGTCCAGAAAGCCTGCTCCCAGAATGGCACGGAGCATCCCTCTATTTGGACTTGTCAATGCCAAACTTTTTGAACACCTTATTCAGCTCCTCTTCGGCCACTGGACAACTCAATCCTGTGACAGATGATTGGCAAAAAGCATCCAGTTGGAAAACTTGTATGATGGTAAGAGCAAATATTATTTCTCTCATTACAAAACTTCAGTCCCAATGAGTAAAAAAAAATGAATATGAAACTCATTTACATATTTGTGTTCATTTCTGGGGGGTTCATCCAAGCCAAACGATCACAGCTATTACAGCACACAGTCATTGACAAGATGTTTAGGGGGCTGCAATTTTCTGTACAACCCATACAGGGTTGTGGATACATGTCAGGTATAAAAACTGATAAAGCTGGATTTGAAAATGAAGATAAAACCCCGGGTAATGGCACAAAGACACTTCCCCAATTCAAGCCCATAGAAAAAGTGATCTTTCTCCTCAATAATTTTCTTTCATGCTGAAGTGAAGTTTTTACTCCCTTCATTGTGCTATATTTACAACACTGATAAGAATAAAAATAATAATCATATGATAATAATAATAACTAAGTGTTGGCGAGCCAGTAACCGGCAAAAAAATGAAAATGATTGAATAAATCCAAATAAGCAATGATGAGGATTGCTGAAACATGGAGGTATTTGGTATTAAAAGAAAAATATTGTCAGTAATAGGCAGACAGGAGACACAGAAAGTTTAGGTGGTTAGCTGAGAAATAGCAGCAGAGGAGACAACAGGCAGCTTTCATAGGAAAGACACTGAAAAGCAAAAATGGGAAGGAACAAAAAACGAAAAAAAAAACCAAAACAGCACATGAATGTCATTAAAACATTTGCTGAAGATTGAGATGTAAGCCAGACATAACTGAATGACAAATGCACACAAAGCAGCTGCATGGACACGGCTAATCAAAATCTGTGTTTTTGAGATGAAAGGTTGGTTCAAATGTTTGGTATTAAAAATCTTTTATAGTTCATTAAATATTCTTTGAAAAATAGGATATCAAATGGGGTTAACTGTAGGTTGATTTGAAGAGTGACAGATTCATGTATGTCGGTACGTTCAAAATACTTTCTGAGTAGCTTGAGGCATTACGATGCTTTCAATGTGAAAGAGCCAAAGCAACTTGTGACCTGTTTGGATGTAAAAAGTCCGACTTGCTCCAACTTCTTGAACTGAACAACTTTAGTCAAGTAGATGTAGCTTCAAAATGCTGCATGTGAGAAAATCTGTGTGTGTGTGTGTCGGGGGAGAGGAGGTCTTCAATCATGGAATGATGCTCAAAGCTTCTACAAATGACTAACAAGGTTTTGTCTGATGTATCTCTATGGTGGATGAACGTGATGACTGGGTCGTCGCCATGGTGTCAAACGCCTCAAATTCATGTGCACTCATATTGCAAAATGGATAGCATCTGGATGTGCAAACTGCGTCAAATGTTAGACCTTCAAACGACGAGGGGGAAGATTGGCCTCGGGGCCTGCCATGCTGATGGATGTAACTGGTAGGAGGGGACTGTTGGCACTCGGGCTTGGTCTTGATGGGTGGCTTGAATACTAAGGGCCGATTGGGTAGGACCTTGTGGGCACTTGGCAATGGTTGGTTGCCTGGTGCCGGTTTTTGGGGGGTGTGTTGTTGGGATGGGGCTAAATAATCACTGGTGTCCATCATGGCTGTTGGAGGAAAGACACAAACAACCAACTACATCAGATATCAGCTATTCTAGATTCTATTTTGGGTTCGTAGACTAGGTACAAGCAGGGAATTTTTTCTCCAAAACCAAATACCAGTTACATCACTGGCAATTGGAATTTGATGAACTACTGCCCATATAAGACTTCATATGACTTTCATTGTATGTCTGTAATTTCCGATGTTCTTTAGATTAAGGACATACTGAAAAGCTTTCTCAAGAGTACCAAAAATACAAATTTGAATTGCTACCGATGAGTATAACTTCATGATGTTGTAAATGGATGATTTTAGCCAGCTGTAACATTAAATTTTTTCCCTTATTCGTTATTTATGACTATCATAATCCTTGTTATACCACCACTCTCCCAAATGTACCAGAACTGAAAGAAGGGGTAATGCCAAAGAAAAATGATGATTGGACAGAATGGAAGAAAACCGGAAACCAAAAAGGCATTGGGGAAACCTATGAAACTAGAGGCTGAGATAGTAACCTACTCTGGTTCAGGTTGGAATCACACCAGGGTCCACCAAACCACTACACAATACTGACAACCCACTAGTTGGTTTTGATTCCTGTATGTGTTTAGACAGGACTATCAAGTCTTGTTAAAAAAGGATTTGAGGGTTCAGGTTGGAATCACACCAGGGTCCACCAAACCACTACACAATAGTGACAATCCACTAGTTGGTTTTGATTCCTTTATGTGTTAAGACAGGACCATCAAAGTCTTGTTAAAAAAAAAGGATTTGAGTCAAGACCTGGTGAAGTCTTTGTTCTCGGCCGTGTGTCTTGTTTTCTCTTGGCTTCAGCTGTTGCCACGGGTAACACTGGGCTCGTTTGTTGCCGGGGCAAAACAAATGCGTGACCACTCGGAGTGTTATAAACATCAGCTGTTAGTAGAACATAGACACACAACACAAGCACAAAGTAGAAACAAGAAAATAAACAGAAAGAAATCAACCAAAGAAAACATAGAGTAATAAGACACGGGAGAAGTAATGGTTAGAATCCTCTTTTTTCAATATCTGTTTTGCAACAAAAGGAACTTGTTTTAGCACAGTATGGGAAGTGTTATGACTGTAGAAAGAAATCTTTGGGCTAGCCTATGTTCTGTTACAGTACCTTTTCTTCAATGTGAAAAATTTTCAAAATCATTCATTTCTTCAATGCTACTTCAAAAAATGACATCAAGTTAAAAGGTAAAAATGTGACCAACGGGTAAAAGTACTCGAAAAAATAAATCATAAATCTAAATCATAAGACATTAAAAATTATCTGATTTGACATGGTTTGAATTGCTGAGTACAAAGTGATATGGTTTTGAGATACATGTAAAAGGACAAATTAATTTGACAAAATGTTAATGCTGTCAGCTAATGATGAAAATGATTTCACAAATGATGACATGATATTACGAGATGCAGGCAACAAAACAAACACTACAAACACATAATGCACCTGCAACGTGACAAATTACCTTGAACCGAAAGAAATTGTAACAATCTAATTTTCATCAAAATAAGCAATGACGAGAAAATCAAACTGCGCTACAGTCAACCAAGAAATGAAAAGGAATGTTTCGCTGTAAATGTCAATATATGAAACAAAAGAGACCGAGTGCTTTTCTGCAGCTCCACTCTGCAACAAAAAAGGGATTACGAGATAAAAGGACAAGAAAAGCAAAGTGTAGCCCTTATTTTTTGACTCGCTGAGAGTCTGGGCATATTTTGACAAATGAATTCTGCTGGCATGCATCTTGAACATCATTTAGTTTACCAAATCTCAAGTAGTTCTACTTGAAGCTCTGAGATCGAGGTTTCTTTCGGAATGTCCTAACCTTGTCCATCTGCTCTGTAACACCAAAAAATAACCTCACGTTAGAAAGACCTGCATCTTTGTGCAACAACCTTCCAAACAATGTACAGAAAACATTGCCTCTGTACTGAAAGAAAGTATTTTCAGAGAGACCTGGAAGGCTGGAAGTGGAAGGGCTTTCAGTCAAGAAGAAACAGTTTTAAGGAAAGTCACAATATCTAGATCTATTTGAGTCACTTCAGCGGTTTGAATTGATGTTAAGCAACCCAGTACCATGCACCAAAGCCATGTGAAGCATTTATTTCCCAATACAATGAGTTCAAATTTAGTCTTTCCACTGTTAACACTCCCCATGTACAGTCCAAAAATCTTTTTCAACCACCACCAGTAAACCAAAAACATTTCCCCAAACAACACTTTTTGTGCTTAACTCTTTCTGTTGGGAGGTGGGTTTCTGAACTCACTTAAATTTGCGGTGTTTGGATCTGGTCGTGGCTGATTGGTGGCTTCTGACGTTGATACACACCGCTGACGAGGTGGGGGCAAACTAGGTGGACCTAATCAAAGAAGTATTGTTACATGTACTTATAAAAGACACTCAAATTTCATTGACCTAATGCAAAGAGACCAGCAAGGCGGGTTACCAACTACAAAGGCAGGCTATCAGTTGCAGCCTGGAACCATCAGCATTTTACTAGCTGGTACTTTGTACGCTGCAAAATCAAAAATACAGGAAGAAGCACAGCACACTTTACGTATACCCAATACAGACACATCTACAGAGCACTACGTTTGTTAGATACCACTACTTCTACTCGGACAACACGACCAGCAACAAGTGGACTCCATATATACCAGGGAAGCGATTCAACTCACGTGGCTCAGACGATTGCTGAACAGCAGTTAGCGAGGGCACAGCAGAAGTAGAAAAACGCTGCTGCCGTCTGAGCATATCTGATGATCATGGGACAGGGCCGGGTTAATATATGATATAACATATGATCTGTTTTTAATAGTGTGCATGCATGCAATATTTTTTACAGCCTCTAATGTAATACTTGGTAACACATATTTGCTTATGAATATGAAATAATGTAAATACTAAACTAATCAACTATACACAAAATGGTACAACGTGCATATTCATGGAACAAGGAAAGTAAAGTCTCCTTCTCTGTGGAATTCTTCAGCTCCTGAAATAAAAACGTTAAAAGTTACAAAACAACCTGGAAAATAAATGAACCACTATCATGCAGGCAGAGTGAACAGTCAACTATCAGGCAGAAAAGTGCCAAGGAGTGCTGAAGACACCTGCAATCACAAGGAATACGCCAAAGGGTGCAAATAAGGTGCTCCCTTCCCTGAATAACAGGAGTAAAGAATCCCAATGGTATTTTGTTGTTAACAGGAAATACATTGTAAAATAGGGGGATAAAATGATTGAAACTGTCAGTTAAGACCAGCAGACAATTCACAAAACATGGTTTGGTGTAAGCCTTGTACCACAAAATTCTGCTGTAGCTGCGCAATATACTTACGGTCGCATTCACAAAAAGTTGCCTAGCTGTGCCACGATTAGATGACATTGAATTTCTTGGACAAGGACGATAACGGCTTTTACAATGGCTGTTATTTTCCAATATCACAACAGTCATCAAACAGTTGTTGAATCACCACCACCTGCCATTTTGAAAAAGTTTCATCTTTTCTTCATTGGAACCAGACAGAAACTCTTGCAGTTCTCTCACAGCCAGACACGTTTGTAATTACCTTCTAAACAAAGTTGTACGTTTCTCATATAAGCCTTGTTAAGTTTAGCAATGACGAGGCTTAACTGAACACGATGAGCTAGTCAAATTGTTCATTTTCACTTCGTTTGGCGCAACTTATGCCACCTAAACTGACTGAATAAAATATGCCATAATTTGTTGCATAAGTTGCAGGCTTATGCAGTGTGTAAATTTCATGAAATCACTCGATTTCTTGCACAATGTACACAATAAAATAAGATGCAAGTGATGTTACGCCACTGAGCCAACGTCCATGAAATTGGCTTCATCTCCATTCCTGTCTTAGTGTTCCAACTACGAATTTACCAACACTACGAATTTACCAACACTACGAATTTACCAACACTACGAATTTACCAACACTACGAATTTACCAACACTACAAAGGCAAAAAATCTTGCGAATGTTCCTTACTGTGTGGGGTTACAAGGAGGTCATCCAAATAAGTGGAGAACACACACACAAATAAACAAACAACCAATCACAAATTACAGTGCATGATTCATGGTCACACAAAACTATGGAATGTAATATTTAGGGTTGACTTCCTCGTTTGAATGCACACATTAAGTGACTTATGAACCAAAACTTCCTGCAAAATGGTGTCAACTTAGTTAAACAGTGTCATTTTAGTAAAACAAAAACAAGAAATGAAAACAATATGGAACAGGAAAAGCAGAGCAAAATGTCTTGGTTTAAAAGTGCTATGAGATGAAAACAAACAAATTCAATGTTGTTATCAGAAGTACAGGATTGTGAAATGTTAAATGTTATAATAGTGATCTTCCATCACTCATACAAGGATATAAGTACAAAATGTGAAACAGCAGCGGTTTTCTGCAAATTATAAAAGTGAAACCAACATTATAAAATTGTGAATAAATGAACTGGTGTCATTCAAACAAAAGTGAGATCACTGGACATGAAGTGGGTTTGGGGAAGAGGAACGTGCTGTAGACCTCATGACAATGCTAGGAAGATCTCAAACTGACATTGTTGAAAAACATAACAATGCAACCACTGAAATGAACAAGTTTATCCTCTTTTTTTCAGAAAAAATTATGTTGTTGGTGCATAAAAAAATGGGTGGCTGGAAGGTTTGAGCTAATGGGCAAATTTTTCCTGGAGGTTGGCAGGCATACACGTGGCTGATCCTTTGTCATAAACAGTTTGTGTTGAAGACATTTTTCAGGTCTCGTTAGTCTAATGGAAGTTTGTCAGCCCTGGCTAACACGAAATATGCCATGCAACAATTTAAAAAAAAAAAATCATATTTTCAACAATGCTCGCATGTGATCAAAGATGGTGGTATGGTATCCCATCATGCACATGGTTTTCTTTACTCACTCTGGTCATCGCCTTCGCTTACTGTGGGGAGTTTGTTTTTGCCGACGTTAATGTACATCGGCCGTTCGGGACTGGCTACCACATATGCAGAGGGATTGGACGCAATAGCAGCTGTACGGAAAAGTACAACAACGATCTGACTAAGAGAAAGGCTAGGCCATTCCTGCCATACCACGTCTGTGCAACGACACTGTGGGTTTGTGCTAATTCCGATGAAAACTGCTTGCTCCTATTGTGCATGATCTAGAGCACACTGCTCTGTGTCAGTATCAAGGTACATTGTTGCTGGGTTAACTATGCACTCTTTATCATTCATGCAAGGCGGTAACAGCATATCAACCTGTTGATTAGTGCGGTATTGCCACAATGTTCCATATCCAAATTCATTCTGTTCAAGCACTCTTTCATGGTTAAAAACATGAGTTACTAATTCACAAAATGAACAGCTAAAACAAGCAGGTACTCAAAAATTCAAAGCTCAAACTCAATAACTTGAGTACTGTGCACTCATACTCTTACTCAATTCTATGCAGGTCAAGAAAAGATGTTATTAGCACACTCCTCCTTGGTTCAAAAGCGTACCAATTTTAAAGAGTGTGTATTTGATTGATAAAGAATCCCCGATGTACTTACTTTCTGGGGTAGTTACTAGCGTGTGTCTGTTACTTGCTGATGCAGCCTGAGTACCCTGCTGAATAAAAACATCAAAATAAAATCAACAGAAATGTCAAATATTTGGGAATTACTATGTTGGGTTGAATGACCAAATTTGATGTCTAGTTTTTCATCATAAAAAAATCAAATGAAACCATTCAGTTTGTTTTGGTAAAGGAGATTTTAAAGGACGAGAACCAGGGCCATCCTATGGCGATAAAATGTGACATCATTCAGGGGGCAGCACAATAGTCAATGGGGAAAACAGAATTACCAAAATGTTTTATGCATGAAAAACATTCTGGCTTCACACAGTCTGGATATTTTGGCAAGGAGAGCCCTCTTGTGATCAGAAAATGAAGACAAGTCAAAAAGTGCTGGTCTTACAAACACCACTGAAAATAAAACTTGGGAATGAGAGTGTAACCAAAGTTCTTCTCAGAGGATAGGAAGTACATGTACGTATTTCCAGCATGAATGACAACGTAAGTGGAGGGTTATTTTTCTGACTTGAAAATCTGACTGCATCCTTCGGTGTTAACCAAGACTACCAATCCACTTCCTGTCCACAATCTTATGAGGAAGTGTGAACGACTATGAGTTGGCCAATCAGAGTTGATCATGACACTACTCAACAACTAGCATTGGTGAACTTCATGCACAATGCCAACGGTCGACATCTGTTCTAACCTTGTACAGAAAAGATGTCATCTGATGCCATCAATCCCATAATGCCCCTCTGCAAACCTTACCTTGTGGCAAGGGGTAAGAGACAAAGGGAACAAAACCTCAGTGTGGAGAATACTTACCACTGGCAGATCTGGTAGTGTCGCATTGAAGGTGGATGGTAGAGACTGCCGGTCTGGGCGTTTCTTGGTAGATGGGACTACTCAAACAAGAACAGTATAAACTGTATCATTCACGAGGTAATTTAGCAGAAAAAGGAGACGCAAATGTCTCCAGGGGTTTACTTCAACTATTTTAGCACCACGCTTGGGGTATTCTGGATAGTGTGACACGCACTAAGGTTTGGTTCTTGGTTCGACCTGAACTCCAGATATGTTGGCGTGTACTCAGGAAAAAAAAGTACACTGGAGCTGGTTTGAATCGTATGGGTTTAGAGAATTAAGGTGCAAGGTACGGAAGTAAAAATAAGGAGGGGAGAAATGTGAGGGTGTGAAGGGGGGGATTGCCTCAAGGCAAATCAAGGAAGCAGTCCAATGAGTGACAAATGGTGCGATAAACATAGGCAAATAAAAGCAGATACAGTTCACCTGAGGAGGTTGTGGTGAATGCTTTTTGATGGCTGGCTCCTACTGGTGTCTAAATTTTGCATTATCGTCAACAGTTCTCTGAATACCAGAGAGATGTGAAACAAAGACTCTAGCTGTAGCTACTGTTCATTTTGGACATAGATCCCTACTGTAGTTTTGGTTTTCACTGAATAATGTTCAATTTGAAAGTGGTTTTACTTCAAGGGAATCTCATCAGCCATTGCTGAGAGGGGGTTAAATGAAGCAATACCTCTTTGTGGCTGTAGGTATGTATCTTGATGTTGACTAGCTTCCCCATTTTCAGGATCTTTCATCGAGAAACCTTCAACAGGAGACAAAATGTGATAGAAGGTAGCTATCAGGAAAAGCAACCACTGGAGTGGAATTTGTCTTCTAGCCAGAGACATACAGACAATATTGCAAACCCCTATCACAGATTGAAAGTCACTGTGGTGCTGGACATGAACCTGTCAATTCTTGTGAGGTTTAATTTTTAGGTAGAAACAGAAAGCCGAAATCCAGTTAAACACATGGCCTATAATTGGATTCCAACCTGTAACATTCTATGAGCGGAGGGGAAAGCATCAAGCCGAGTCTTTGTGAAAGATGAAATGAATGGAGCAATTAAATTTCAATTCAGACCCAAAAAAGGCAGTTTTAACCACTTGCTGCCGGGTTGACGGCACCAGACACTTATTCTTTATACACATGGCCAGGGTCTCTGAAATCGGACAAAGGGAACTGGGCCTTGTAACAAAAGACTGTACTCAGAACAAAAGACCAGGCTGCTGGGCATTACCAACATTTTTTCACTCTCAATAGTGGAGATAATCCAGCCTTGTTTTGAAACAGTATACCACGGTTTTGGGGATTTAGCATGAGCGGATTACCGCCGGGGACAAAAGCTCTCCACCACCACCACCACAATGAGCCACACAGTACTGCTGGGTGCTAATCTGGCCCCGTAACACGTAACACTGCACAATCTGGGCTCTTTTTGCTGAAATACTCCGGTGTCAATAGATGTTGTCCGTCAGATTAGAGTAGAAACCAGACAGTCCTCCGTGGGGATGTAAGTGTCCAGTAAATGAAGATAGGAATTTTTAAAGAATTTTGAAAACAGAAAAAAAAGAAAAATTATCCTGTCCCAGCATCATCAACATTCATAAATGCCCCCGGCACGGAGTGGTTAAGCATCCTATCATGGGATGAAATCAAAAGTCCACAGTGATATTCGTATCAGTACAAGAAAATCAAAATCAAGTGCCAGTCAAGGTCCTCAGTAATTCATTACCATAATATTAGATCAAACTGCACAAGGCTATTCCAGGGAACTGACAATCCCAAACAATGTATATTCACTCAGACAGGTCGTATCAAGCAAAACGAACAAAGCGGATCCTCACAGAACAAGATGAACTGGCTTGAATACACTGTTGAGACATAACGACAACCCCATGATGCATTTGTCCCTTCAAAAAGAGCAGTGGGTTCCAAAGCTAAGTACTCTGATTGGTCCAAGGTTGCTTATCATAAATGCAGCAATCCAAAATTTTATTGGTTAAAGACTCTTGGCTGTAACTGGTCCAAACTAGGAATTTATTTCTGGACTCATTCTCAGAATCCTAACCCTTGCAAGAGCAAAAATGTTCATGTAGTTTCCATGGACACTACAAGCACAATTCAGTGTTTTATTCACATGGAACTTCTACTTAAACATTGTTAAACTTTTAAAATTCTTCATCAAGAACTATACAGGGAGACTGTAAATTACAAAATAATACCATTAAACCATGACTAGAAATGACCTTGTGTATATCAAAATACATGTGTGGTGACAACATTACATGTACTTGTAACATTGTAACTGTACAGTACAGCATTTCCATTTGATGTACAAGTCTTGAATGCGATTTTGATTAACTCACTAAGTCCCAGCTCATAGGGATGTTGAGGTGTCTTCAGATCCCGTGTCTGTATTGGTCGGATGTTGCCCCCATGTTTCTCAATGAAGAACGCCAACAGATCGTACATGGTCCTCATTTCTGGTTGCTGTGGCAAAAAAAAAAAAGCACTCATCTACTTAGTTTGCAAAAATCAAAATCTCTTGCTGAGTCACTGAAGGTTTTTCCTTTAAAACAACATCAAGACCGCAACGAATTTTCAACTCAAACTGGCATTTTCAAGCATGCTCCTGTCCATTGTCCACTACAATCTGAACTTTAGCTTTGGTGAGGGCATTGGATTCTCTTTTTGTTTTCTTCTCCTGATTAAATGTTCTGTCATTCCATCATTTCTGCCCCTGTCCTTGGTAGTCCCTGGCACTTCTGATTTTCCAGACAAAACTGGCAGTTTCTCCAGGCGCTGACCTTTTCCTCGATGACCATCTCGTAGCTTCCCCGCTTGTCGTTCCAGTTGAACCTGTAGTGTTTGATGATGGGTTGGGCCTCGGGGTTCCCTCTGGGTGGATCTTGCCTCATGGACAGCGAGTAACCAGAGTGTGACTCGCTGTTTCGAATGACGATGGATCCGTGCTCTTGATTATTCAGAAGAAGCTGTTTGACAGAGAGAAATATCCCTGGCAAGTCAGTCAAAAATTGTAACATTGCACATGCACACTGAGTATGGTCAAATCTACCTCAAAAAAATCTGGATTAGGATACTGAAATAAACAACATGTACATATTAGATGACCCCCTACAGTGACCCTTGACCTCTTAATTAAGAATCTTCTAGCATCAATATCTACGGGAACAGCTAATTCTTTGTTGATGCACTACCGCACAATTAAACTAGATGTTACCATTTTTGGACATCGTATGAGACCAAGGTGCTTAGAACCAGCCAAACAAACTTGACTGTTTTAGGTACCAGATGCAAATGCATACAGACTGTGCAAACACCTGAGAAAGTTTGATGTAAAGGTCTCTCAACATTTGAACTGTCTTTACCTCTTCGGCTACTGCCCTGGTAACCTCAAAGTACCACGTTGGAGGTATGGGGAAATCGTCTCGGAAGCCCTGGATGAGATGATCAGGGTAGAAACGGTACTTCTTCTGCAAGGGGTGAAAAACAGCATTGGCAGATTTGAAGGGTGAATCCATGGAAACAGTTGGAGGAATAAAAGGCATTATGATACAATGTGTTGTAGGACTTCTAGTTTAGATGCTAACAAAGGTGGCTTGTATACATTACATTTAGCAAGTCAAAGAATTAGTCCATTAAAGTTTTTTCCTTCCAAAGATACACCCCCTGGCAGAATAAGAACTAATTACCTTTCCAAAAATCAGTATCAATAGTACATATACATGTATGAATACATGTCCCCTCTATTAAAACAAACATGTACATGTACCAGGTGCACATACAAACTCACACACTCAAGTTACAGCAATATCAAATGGTTGTACCATACACCACACTTATGAGGAAATTTATGCAATTCAAAAAACAGTTGACAGATAGCGGAAATTGCATCTCAAATTCCGGACACCAATTGCAGAAAACTGTGATGAAAGCCCCACACAATATATTGCACATTGTACAGTAAATGCATACATGTGCCAAACCGTTCCAGACAAAAAAAGCAGTATGCTTGAAAAATAAACAAGGGAGCTAAAAATAAACGCATAACTTAACAATGTGAACACGTACATGTAAGGAAATTGATTTGACAGAGACAGGAAACATGGACTTTCGATGGTGTTACACCATACCGGTATGTCTTCCTTGAATTGTATGAGGACATTTCCCTCCAAGTTGAACAATTTAACTCCCTGTACTTGACAACTCTCTACTGCCTTTGAGACACAAACCTTTCTACTTCCACGCACTGTTATAATTGACCATTTTGTGAATACCGTATATTGATCTGGTCAGGGCCCAATTTCACGGCACTGCTAATAGCAAGCAAAAAATTGGCACTTACCATAGCAGAAAATCTGCGCTGCGATTAGCGAGGAATTTTGGCTTGTGCACATGCGCACATCCGGTAACTAAGGATTCTGTGCTTAAAGGGTTAGCGAAGAATTTTTCTGCTTGCATGGTTAGCGCAGAATGGAGATCGTAAGCGCGGAATTCTGTGGTAAGCAGCACCATGAAATTGGGCCCAGGTGTGAACAACGCTGAAGAACATGGACACTGGATGGTACTCAATGCTTTAGGCCAAATTGCAAAAAGTACCCAACTGCAACACTGGCAACGAGTCACTTTGACACAACATTAGTTGTAGCCTTTGAAAATGTTTCACACTCAATTTCAAATTTGCTCTTTCACTACTATGAGAATGCATAAGACAATACAGTTGTCATTTTGTCTATTTTAGTCTGAACTCACTCTTTCCATATGCAGCAAACAAAATGTCAATTTATAACTGCCAGACCACAAAAAGACGATACTTTCTTGTTCAGCAGATGCTTTGACGAATTCCCTTCGACAGAAATCCCCTACACAAATCCTGTTCACTGTTTGATACAATCACAATATTCATCTATAGCCAGTGAACTTGGGCTTTTCTTACCCAAAAAATCTGCTAGGGACAAGTTTTTTTACCCACAAATTCTTCAACCCTACAAATGCACTTTGACCCAACCAAGCACAATGTGTTAATATGGCAATCGCGGAAATGAAAAAGAATTCTTAAATGAGTGTACACGTCCTCCATGGAACAAATAAGTAAAATTATGCGTGTTTACATGTCATCCAGGGTCAAGTGGTTTAAGATTAAGTAGAATTTGGACAGGTACCTGTAGCAATCTGATGTAGATTTTCAACTGCATGGCCTAAGCCACATAAACTTGACCCAACAATTTCTCTACATCTTAAGGCTCAGGAATCTTGCAGTGTGACTGTACTCACATTCAGTTCATCCTGATGATTTGTCTTTGGATGATCCCCATCCCTGGATGGCTTCTTTACAAATGTCTGACTCCTGGGTGACTTCATGACCGGTGACTTAGCCGCGGCTGCCTCAGGCAGTACGCTGTCCATGCTCTCAATGATCTCTTGAAGGGCAATAGTCTGGCCTGGTAGCAGGTGAATTTTTGGAAGCTCCATCTGAAAGGGAAAAACAGTAGCAGGTGATTTGTTTGAATGTGTCCATCACTGCCAAATGTTTAAGTGTGCTATACTGTGATCCAACTCATCATCTTGAAAAAAGGTTGAAGGGAACCTCAGCTTGGTTTAAGGGCTTGTGGGTCACATATATTCTTTGTGCTCACACCGTTGAGGGCGGTATTTTCTCTGGTGTAAGCCTCCGATGCATATGGTGTCAAGGATACATGCCTGATGTATACATGTCTATGTATGTGCAAATGGAGAGCAATAAGTTTCCTTGTTGGCAATCTGCCTTGGAAATGTTGGCAAGCTTCTAGTAACGTGTAATTCACCAGATCTCTGCTTTGTCTCTGATCTTAGTTCTTATCCACCTTCACAGGCATAAGAAATTTGTTACCGTTTCAGCAAATGGAAATGTACACTCCACATGCTGTAATTTGTTACTATACAAGTACACGAAGTGGGCTGACACTGTCAAGATGGGAGCTGTAATTAAGACACTGAAGCATGAAGACGACTGTTTGGATATCACCCTTTATGACTTCCTCCTACCTTAGCTATGGCATAGAACCGAATCCACCAATTATCTCTCTCATCTTGTGTGCTCATCTACAGAAAAAGACAAATGGTACGATGACAAAGATAGTACAGGCAAATAAAATGTATTGGAATGTCCTCCTACTCTATGAACATCAGATATCCTGTCAATCCTAACCTACAGTACATGTATGTATTTATCGCTACATGTACATGTACTTGTATTGCAATGCTCAATCCACTGTTCTAACATGAAAAATACCATGGTGCTGGATTTGTGCGGTATCTGCAGAGGGTGCTAAACAGGACTGTGCAATCATGCATCAGCTTATGTCAATCCAAGGCAAACCCACAGTGCGGTGCACAAACCAAATAAGCATTAAGGGTGGGGCATTTACGCGTTTAATGAAAAGAGTTCCAAATCAGTTTACAGATTTTCCCAAACGTTTAAACAGAACCTCCTCTAAGGTTTGACGTTTTATTTGACACAATCTGGCATTCATTTTTGTTGTAAATGATGCCTGTGAAATGTCATGTGATTTTCGGAACACTTTACTGCTCGGTCATTGGAATACAGAGAATTCATCACAAACTTTGTGTCCGCTATTTACACTGTGTACAATTTGTTGTGTTTCAAGTTTTCGATAACACCGTGGTAACAGTCGGACATTTACATGTACATGCTTAAACATTTGAATGGTATGGGAAAGTTTTCTAAACGTTTTTCAAATTAAAGGTAAATTCCAACCCTTCATAAGCATACACATACATGCTTGTGTACCCACATTCACTCCTTTCTGTGTTCATAGATGCGGAAAGACCTTCGGTGAGCTTTGGACGTGAAATAACAATCATATAGCCTCAGCAAGCTGCTAAACCAGTGCTGTTGTTAACTATTGTATATTGTTGGATTCCATTGGCAGGGTACTGTACACTGTGGTAACTGCACGGTTTTGAGGCGAGTAACTGCACAGTTTTGAGGCTGGTGTTTATCTGAGTGCTCTCCACAATGCAACAAATCTTCAATTGCATTGTACGGTTTCAGCAGGGCTCTCTTGTTAGTTGAGACGAATTGGACTGAATTGTACATGTATACGTACTACACAGAAAACCCAATGTAGCTACAGTGGTGTATCCTGTTTTCATTGATGAGGGTGAAGTAGTGCGGAAGCCAAGATGAACTTGAGCAGAAAGAACATTTCAGGATCGGCTAGCGGACCACAGTATACATTTACATGTACATGTAGCCCAGGCACTCACTCCAGCAAGGTGTGGCCTGGTCGAAACTGTGTTTTGGGGGTCTTTTCAATATTCTAACTAACTTGGACACAGCTGTATCTATGGGAACAATCCGCTGGTCTCAACAACACCTGCTGAATATGTACAGCATACAGGTTCATACTTCACGCTTCTCATAGGATCTGGGGCCAATTTCACAGAGCTGCTTTAAGAATTTCCTTAAGCATGTAAAAACCTCGCTTAATAAACAAAGGTTACCAGCTCAAACTCTATATGATTATCATACTACAAACCAAAAGACAGCTAAATACCATTCCAAAACAATATACATCACAGGAAGTTTTGACTGGTAACCTAATTTGTCAAGCAATTTTTTTCATGCTTGAACAAATGTTTTGCTTTAAGCAGTGCTATGAAACTGGCCCCTAGTTAATTTAGTAATACTTACACGGTACAAAAATATCTAGTTACAGTACTTTCCCATCCCAGTAATGCTTGTGTGGGAAGAGTTGTTACACATATACATGTACATGTATCACTGACTCAAACTTGGTTCAAACTTTCTATGGACTTAGATCAAGGATCCCCCAATAGAACAGTTGTGCAAACCCTACCAAGTTGAAAGTACCCAAAGTTACATCACTTTTGGTATGGCAAAAAGTCATAGTGAAATGAAACTACCGGTGTATACATGTACAGTACAGCGGTTTCTGTACTGTCTAATGGAGATCTTTTGTTCCATCCCAGGTTTAGTCACGTTTAGCAGGTGGATGAAGCTTTGTACAGAACACAGTGAAACAGGAAGTTTTTGAGAAACAGAGAAACAAAATCGACCCTAGTTAAATATTGTTACCTTGAATTTGTAAGCGCCAGCTTTGCTCTTCACGGTGAGTTTGGTTTTTTCCTTGTTGTCGGGTGTTAATGTGCAGTTTCTGTCTATGACCAACGACTCTACTGGCTGCAAGAAAAGAGAAACAAAGAATATAGGAAAAAAGGATAACAATTAACAGTATTGTGCAGAGTTGTAATGACTCGAGAGGCAATAACTCAACTCGAGTCACAATTTTCGGTGACTCGAGTCCCGATGGGTAAAGGACTCAACTCCACTCGAGTCTGTGACCAAATGATTCAATTCGATGCAAACATCTCAGGAGACTCGACTCGAGTACAGCTTACATGTACATGTAGAAGACTCGAGTTTCAAAAAAAGATCAAGCAAAATTATAGTTGGATAGATACATGTACCTGTCACCCTAATTTATTTTCAGTATGTCTAAATGAAAATAAAAATACCAAAATGTGACTTACATGTATTAATAGTAGTGTTTTTATTGGTTTTTGTTCAAAAATTTGTGACTCAAACTGACTCGAGCACGGTACTTGACTCAACTTGACTCGACTACACAAAGCAACTGGACTCGACCTCTTGACCTAACGACGAGACTCGACTTGAGTCACAATGTTAAAATGACTTGACACAAGTCGCCAAATTTATTGATTTACAACACTGCCTGTGTGATCTGCTGGGAAAACAGTGGGATTGTAGCTAAGTTACGGCCTGATTTAAATGCCTGGTTGACATCACACACAATGTCAGTGAACGGCAATCTCTATGATGCAAAAATCCCATCGGAAAAGAATAAATCGGATACACTACAAGCTCCATTCATAAACCCCCTCGAATTTGTATGCAGATGTTTATCTCTGGTTGTGCTATATATGAAACACTTTTTTAATAAATTATTCACACGTCTATCCCTGCATAAACACGAAGACTTCAAATTTGATATCCACTGGATCATGAAGGAGAGTTTTGTAAATAAGGGTTTGTGGCACTCTCGCTGGAGAAAAGGTCATTGCGCTATAAATTTCTGCTTGGGGTTATCTTTCTGCTATCAATCTGCTTCCCCTTATACCGGTTCACGCACATTGTACAGTGGTCAGTTTTTAACAGTTCACACGAAAGATATCGAGGAAGATGTTGATTGAAATAAATGGAATATGAAAACAAGAGGAAATCATCTCCAAAATAGCCACAGAATACAAGATCCACAGAAATACATTTTGAAGGGTCATTACCATATGCATCTAAACTTGCCAGGGAAATTTTTACTGGCAAGCTTCCTTCATCAAATTCCTGAATCGATTTCCTGAATCGAATTCAGCACTGCACAAGTAATCCAGCTGTATTCTCTCATTAACAAAAGAGGGACCCAGCCACATTGAAACACATACATGTAAGATGTGAGCACTTGAGAATACCAAAGCTGATTCTTATTTAGGCAGACCTGAGGGTAACATTTCAAATTTCAAGTCCCAATCAAGTCTGTCAATGGAACCGGGAAATCTTTGAACAAGGAAGCAATACATACATGCACGTGTACATGTACAAAGTATGTACATTCTTAATGTTTACAGCAAAGAAGAATCAGTTTCACTTTCCCTAACATGCTTTGTGAACCACTGCAAAGAGACAGGCCGACCATTAAAACAGGACAATGATATGCATATATTATGCACATGTATGTATGTATGCAAACTTGTCATGTACTGTACGTCTGCGGTGACATGTATCTATGCATATATTGATACATTCTTGCCTGTGCACTTTAAATACAATGGAAACTGAGTTTTATTTAAACAACTATGGAAATTCAAAAACGTTATGTGAAACAGGTGCAAACGGAAAAAATGCAAACAAAACACAAAAACACCCATAGTTGTGACAGTTAAAAAAATGAGAATAATGCGAAAATTTGTCTGAAGTATAAAACATTACAAAAGGCAAATTACTGAACCACACATTTTTGTGTCTGATCCATTTTTCAAAATCATACATGTCAAATTTGTCTGAGGGGTGTGTTTGATCTGCCCCACAAACAAATGTACTGTACCTGTGATAAAGTGAAACATTCAACAATCTGACCCTTGAGCATTATCCACTATCCTACAAATATTCCCCAACCCTAAAGCCATTTCAAATTAGTACAATGCAAGATTTCCGTTCCCATCGACTCTAAAATATGGGTGATTTTGCACTTACAGTATCCTAATCTTGTCTCTCATCAGCCACACAGAAAGCTTGTAGATAATATTGTATGCATAGGTATGAATCACAATTTAACCTTATGCCCCATGTATCTTAATGACACTGAAAATGTATGTTTAAACAACTGTTTCTGTAAAGATTACCTGTTCTGGAATTTTGATTGAAGGTCACTATTTCAAGTTCAAAGTGAGCATCAGTTCATTGAAAATGAGTGTGAGATGTCCTGGTTACCAGTTGCTCCCTGAGACAACTGAATGCAGGGCTGAATGTGACATGCCCTGGTTATTTTACCAGTTGCTCTCTGAGACAACTGAATGCAGGGCTGAATGAGGATTTCCCATTTTTTGGAAGTATGTATGACCCAAGTATGTATGTTGACAGTGTCATGATCAGCTTGTACTTTGTTTGAAAGCAAAAGTGATTCAAATCCTGCAATGACAAAAAATGCAACCAGAGGTTGACTGTGATATGCACCACTGCCCCAATGAATTTAATTTGCTCTGAATATTACAAATGTACATCAAACCATAGACAAACGTAGAATGACTCATTTCTTCAACTGTAACTGTCATATGAAGACTCAAGCCCTACATGTACTTACTGGTAATCTGTCACCCATCATTCCCACACCAAGCTAAACGTACATGTACATGTAGGTGCATGTACCCCTGTAAGTTTGATGTTTGACAACTCTCCAATCCCCCACTGTTGATTTGTGTTTTCAATTTAATCCAATTAAAAACAAAAACAAACCCAAAACTGGCAACTTTTAATTCTTCAGCCTGGTTTGGGAACAGTGGGTCACAATGTGCAAAGTACCGATACATGTGTAAACGTGGCTGGGCTCTCTACCATCCTCAATCCTCCAAATTCCTCCACAACTTTCTGGTGGATTTTGAAGGATTTAGTAGGGTTAAGGCTAGTCCTGGCTCAATGCTTCACCTTAGGTGAGGTTAGGTCGATACACATCTCCTCATTTTCCTCTCCTTCCTGACCTGGGTTTGAATCCCACTAGGGCTAACTTACAAGTACGATCTCCCGGGTACATGTACTTGTATAAATGGGGGTATGGATGAGTACCATACTGTTCAGTGTGTTCTTTCCTCTCTTGTAAATGTCCATAAATATATGTTCTCTGATCCTCTCACCTTGACAAATGTGAAACATGTTTTGTTGGTCTTTTACATTTATTACTCTTCGATTGTCCTAACACTTTTGAGGAAAACAGTATAACAAATACACAAAAAAACCTTTTCTACTTTTGATAAAAATCAACCTCATGATAATCATGCTATCTGCATCCGGGTATTAAACTGTTTGTTCATTCTGTCAATGCTTTCTACCTGAGCCAACAGTTTTAAAGATAAACTTTAACCCCATATACTTTGCAAATGCTGTGCAACAGCATGTACATGTACAACATTTGAGTTGTCGGAATCAAACAAAACACATTTGCTAAAACATCCTGAGCGAAAACAAGCCCATAACCATTTTCCTGCATTTAAAACGGTAGTGTCAGGTCAAGTGTCATTTGTGAAATAATGTAAAATCATTCATGGTCCTGGGTGTAAGAGCACACCGCCCATCTCTGATATTGCAAATGTTTTGGGTCAACCCCTGGCGCATACACACATAGGGTGCGGTACAAGCTTATACATGTACATGTAGATGAACAAGTACTGATAAAATGTTAAGCAAATTCACTTGAGGTCAATTGTGATGCGGATACTGACATGTACCTCTGTGTGGTATAGGGTACATACAGTATGTGCAATGTGTACAGCCTAACAGCCTTCATGCCAGTTTCACAGCGTTCACTTTCAATTCTTCAGTTGTTATTCAGCTATGTTTTTGGCCGTAGCCCAGGGTTCTTATTTGTATGTCGGCCATCAACTTCCTCTAACAATTCTACACATGCATGTACAAGTGCATGCGATACCAGAATCTAGAACATAGAGACTCAGCCATCGGCCAAAATAAATACTGACAAAATGTGCAGTGGAATGCCGTGCTTGTATTCAGTGGTATGTCTCATACAATATCGTACATGTACCGGTACAGTATTTGTACAATAAACCTTCAAACGGGGTCAGTTACCTTCAAACAGGGATAGTTACCTTCAAACAGGGTAATAGTTACCTTAAAACAGGGATAGTTACATGTACCTTCAAACAGAGTTTGTTATATTCAGAAACAAACAGAACATTTCCACTGACATATCAATCAAGTCACTAATTGCTCAAAATTTCCCTTTTTTACAAATGTTACAGTGTACCTTTCTCAGTTTTGTGTAATCTACATGCATGTATTGCATTTTTGCAATAACATGAAATAACTTGCTCACTCTCATGTACGAGTATATACTTGAATTATTCAGAAACTCTTCCGCAAATTCTTTGAGTTGCAATGAAACACAAAATGCATATTAAAATAAGGCCTTGAAAATCCCTCATATGGATTTAACATGTACATGTATGCACATTATAATGTTATACTGCTTGATTATGGTTCCACATGTAACAGTCTTTTGGACCATTTGGCTGTAGAACCAAAACAAATTCTGGTACATTTGGCATGTCTGTCAGGAACTTTCCTGAATTCTCAAAACTCCACTACTGTTCAGGAAACAAATTTGGCCATTTTTTTTTAAAATTAAACTTGCACATATAAATGTAAAAACACACAAACTCCTAAAAGTCTTAGTGGATTTTAAATGAAAGTTAGAAAAATGTACCCCTATATAGTCCAATTTTGTTAATTAAAGCTGTTACGGACGTTCCATTTTATGCTACAGATGTTACATGTGTAGAAATGTACATGTAAACAAAACAAATGTTAAGAATTTTTTATTAATTATAATTCTCCATATTGTATTTTGCCGTGATATCTCCTTGGATTTATTAGATTGAGGTGTACCGCTAACCAGTAAAAGTGCAGAAAAAATTGTAAAACTCAATTTGATACTTTGGCAGTCATGTGACAGTTGGTGTGGAATTGTCCCAAAGAACAAAGGATTGGGACCGAAAATATTCCTTGTAATACATGTACATGTAAAAAATGAGTTGTATTAACAGAACTCTTATTAACAAGATTTGAATGTACATGTATCCATTTTTTTAACGGTGGACAAAATCACTTTACTGTTTTTTCAGCATGAAGAAAATTGTCTATAAATAAGCCAACTGATGTACAATTGGTACCCTGGAAACCGTATTCAAATATCTCTTGTGCATGCTTGTCTGTTCTACGAACTTGCGGTGTGAAAATGAAAGATTTCTTTTTCTTCCAGGTCTGAAACTGAGAGAAAAACGGAAGGTCTAGGAAAAGAGCTTTACTCCACACGCATTCTCTACTTTAGTACTCATAATTCTGTAGATATAGTGGGGTAAAAGGTCAATAGTCAAGTTGAATTTTACTGCCTCTGGTTTTTTTTTATTCTGCCTACTTTGCAGACCGATATATGTTGTAAAATTCTGATTGATCCGAACTTCGTTCTTTATATAATGGACAAATTTACATGTAAAAGCAGGAAGATAAGAGTTTTACATGTATTTCTTTAAGTGCATGTACAAGTAAAAAAAAAGGACATTCCACAAGGACTCATTGTACACGGTGAAATTTGTACATGTATGTAATAAGCACAAAAAAGCTGAAAAAAATTGACATTACACAGAACAGACGGGTGTCAATGTAATTATGCACCGGAACCCAAAAATACCGATACATATATCTAAACTGCAGAGATGCAGACTAAAGACTACATACTCTACAGATGTACATGCAGAGGTAAATTGTTTTACTTAATTTTTTACTCTTGAGAACAAGAACACAATTTTAAGAAAAAATAATTACATGTAATGAAAAGGTTTCTCTGAACTTCGATCCACTTTTGATAGTAAAAGGCACTATATCACACATTAGGTTTTTGCCAAAGGTTAACTTTAAAAATCTGAATCTGAAGGTGCAGAATGTTACTGAACATAGGCTTGTGAGAAAAGCAGGCCACCCATATTGAGACATCACCACCAAATATTACTGTGAACCTTACATGGATTAGTGCTTTCAAAGCCTGTCATCGGTCCTTAAACCTCACATCAAAAAAGACATTTCACACAAAAAGACACAGGTGTACATGCAACAGAATGATGTGCAGAACCACAAGGGGTCAATGTTACCAGCCTCCCCCCCAGAAAAAACTACAATCTGTTTACAAGAGCAAACCATTTCTGTGGGGATTGAAACAAGTCAATGGGTGGTGCATTCACTAAAATGACCCCAATTCAAAGCGTTGATGGCAGGTCACTTATCAACAATCCAGGGACAGAGTACTGGAGAGTTATTAGACCTTCATTCTTGATCTGAAGCTGACAGCCAATAGCAGTGTGAATCCACACCTGAATACAAACAACCTGTTGATGGCAACCTGACCTGTTCCTTTTACAAGCTACCAACAGGTGTAGGTGCTGTGGTATAATGATACAGGACTCAGGCAGGTAGAGCCAAGCCGCTATCATAACATGGGCCCCTATAATGTTCCTTCAACAAGTTGGACAATGTATACATGTTTGGGTTTCACTCTGCAAGGTGGGGAATCAAGAAGTCTCCTCACAAATTGCTGAGAACTTCGTTACATGCACCAATAAGAACATACATTGTATATATGTAAGGTCCAAAAAATTTTAGCTTTTCAGTAAATAGCATGTGAAAAAAACGGTACAGATTGCATGTAAATCTGCACATGTACACTGCACACTGCAGCTAGTGTGACCTGGTTACAATTAACAGCAGCAAGAGAAGGGTCTGGTGGCATTTGTTTCAAATGAAATGAACAACACTAAGTCTGTGGAACTTTCTGTATTACATTCAAACTTCAATAGACATAGTTTTTCTTTTTTTCTCTCCAATTTTGCATTTTCCAAAACTTGTCCCCTCCCAAAAAGTTAGGTCTGTACCATCAAAATAGGGTGGGTCTTGAAATAGGAGACATCTTTTTGGCCATGTAAATACATACGTGTAATAAGCCCCACCCCTCGGTGCTCTAACCAATCATAGCTGTGATCAAAGTCTGAAATGCATGCATTGAAAATTCAACATGAATGTGCATATAACCCATGGCCAGAGCACGCGAATTGTCACCAGAAAGTTAGGGCACATGTTACACTGTAACTGTCCAGGTGCCCGCAATGCGTGGGTCTTACTGGATCAATCTATTACGTGACCCGGTCTTTTTAAACTGGGGTTTGACCATCATGGGTGTTACCAATAAGATCATTGCCCATTTTTTTAGCCTTACCTTAGATGTGCTGAGTTCACGTTGTGTCACCCTCTGACTGTACATAACAATTTTGTTGTCCATCAACATCAGCCAACGTTTCTCATAGTCCTGTTAAAGTAAATGAAATGATCATTTAAAGTTTAATCAAACAAAAATGATGTCTGCATATTCTATGTCAATCATTCAACCGCTGAGTACCAAGTACAAAAACTTAACTCTTGTAGGCTATGCAGTCTTTACGATTGCATGTACCGTACTGTACCGTATATATATATACATGTAACTTGGGAAATTTACATGTACAGTGTATGTACATACTTGAAATCTCATCAATCCACCAGAGTTCTAAATGAACCACTTTAAGAGCAATTGCACCAAGCTTTGGTCTCCAAAGATCAAATTCATTTCTGATAACTATCACATAAAGGTTCATGTTACTGATTTTCAAACTGAACTGGCACAGAATACCTGGTATCATCAATTCATTTCTCAAATTTTAAAAAAGTCTCTATCATTTCCTTCTCTGAACAACAAATGCCAGTAATTCCCCCTAAATTGTTGAATTCCTAGAAGGAATTAAATAAGAAAAAGCACTAAACATTCAGCTTCAGACAAATCTTATCTTCATCTGACAGTCATCCTTTCTTGTTAGTGCTTGGAGCTGTTTCTAGATCATGCTGTAGTTTCCATTTTTCTTTCCATTCAATGTGTACACACATGTACATGTACAAGTGTGCATACAATGTACATTTTTATCATCAGATCTCACATCGTGACAAAATGAACTTTTTCCCAATGACTGATGACCATTGGCATTCAGGCCAACATGTACCCATAGAATGTTTACGGCTTGCGCGTGTACACATGCACAAGTCTTTCAGTAACAGCAACATGAACAAGTATAAACTCTTCTTGTGTGGTTATGTTTACTAATGTTACTGTAACCCTAATCCACCACTTTTGAGCTTAAGGACAAAATGACAGGTAAAATCCTGAATCTTTCAAAATCCTCCATAGCCCTATTATTTTTGGAAGGGGGAAGGTGAGCACACCAGGTTGGTTGCTGGGCTGAAGCTGTTTTTTTTGGCAGACTTGGCTGACAGCTTTTCATTTGCAGTAGAGAATTGTGTATGACCAGCAGCAGTGAACAATGGAACACACCGTCCTTGGGTACATGTTTATTGTCAACAGTACGATGTGTGACCATATGCACCACTATGTGACTGATTTTTTAGTGATTTCATTCACCATTCATCCTCAATCCTCCAAAATTTTTGCTTTGGCTTTTAAATCAGCATTCATCCTCAATCCTCCAAAATCCTCCACGCTTCAATCACCATTAATCCTTGAGGATTGAGGTGAGTTAGGGTAAGGTGCATTTCTTCCGTTGTTACATGTACTTCTCATTTTGGTTCCAATCAACATCCCTCCCACTTGTTTATGTTACATTTTTTTCTTTAGTTGATTGCAAACACCAGTGAAATCCATTTCTTTATAAATGCACTCAGGAGAGTGAACACAACCAGTGCCTGTCACCAGATTTCACCATTTTGGAGAAAGATCAGTGCAGAGTATAAATTTGTTTTTTTGGCTAACCCTAAACCATTGTCTGATACCTAACAATACTGCTTTGCAGACGGCCACACATGGATGAACATGGGTAATGAAATTGCCATTTACTGTACATGTACGGGTACACGTACATGTCCATTGCAACAGGCATGTTTTGATCTAACAGTGCACACCCCTGTGTGCAAGCAGCTATGGTGTATGACTTTTTGGAAAGGCCCAATGAAAATATTCTCACATAATGCACAAAGATACATGTATGCTGTAGAGTCTTTATTTATGACTTGGCAAAGTTGAAATTGAAAGCAAGGTTTATTCTTCATTTTTGGAACTTAAGAGTAGAAAAGAAAACAATAAAACAAAATTTCATGATAATTTAGCATCTGTGGACTTGGATAAATTATGATAAATTTGTGAAAAACCCTTGAATGTAGGTCTCCAGCAAGACTTTGAAAATTCAAAGGGAGGCTTGGAACGTACATGTACATTATAAAATACTGGTAGTCTGGCACCATCCTGATTATTGTACACGATTTAAAAAACAGATTCAGTCAAAAAATGACTTCCCTCGTGAGAAGGGTCTATATTCTGTCCTCTTGTGGAACTTTTTTGTTAATGAAATGTAGAACAATGGTGTGGAGAGTGTGCCAATGCACATATGCATGCAGGACGCTCAAAAATCCCACATCAAAGATACCTTACATTACGTTTTGTACTCTGAACAATAATAAATGCCCCACTCATCCAACATGAACACACTTTTTTTCTTGAGCAACCAACTTCAGCAGTCTTGCTGAATTGTGTGTGCACATTTGCAACTTAAAATTTTGTTGCTTGCTGAATGTTGTCCAAAAATTCAAATCCTCACGTTTTAGGATACACCTGGGCTTCAGTCGGTGGGGGACGGGGAGGGGGCGGACATGTCCTTACAGTATATCAATTGTCCCCCCCCCCAATTTTTTCCAAAACCTAAACAAAAATGTATACCTTACAAAAGAATTTGTTAAAAAAAATGGCTACAGTAGCCAAAAAATTGTCTCAGATCACACCACTCCGAAATTTAAATACTCCCCATGACCCGTGCTCCCATTTGTTCTGATTAGGACTATGTCCCCCCTCTCACTTTTAAAAACGGATTGACACCTTTGAAGACACGCATGTGCAGCAAGATGAACTGGCTTACCGCTCTCTGGCAGAGTAATTGAACAAAAAAATCTGATCAACTTCAAACATTTCCTTTAATCAACTACATGTCCATGATGTCATCACCTCAACACTTTTGTGACCATCACTCTTCTTAGTGTATCTGTTGTCAATTGTACAAAACTGACATTTTCAAAAAGAAAATTAGCAACTTTTAAGAAAAGAATCTGAATTGAATGATCCTGTTTTTATAAAATTCAGAATCTTCAACATCCCAATTCTTAAAAAAACCAGAATCCTGAAAATGAAGATAAATGTCAGCAAAACTGAAATGACTTCAAAATTCAGGACAATGCCTACATACCTTATCCTTGGGTCCTTTCATCTCGGCAAATCCTTCATGGTGCTTGGTGGACCCGTTGGACAGTGGGGAATCAGGAGGCTTCTCTGCTCCACTCATAGTGAAGTTACCAAGAGGCTTGTCAAAGACTAGATGTAAGATTCAGCTGGTGGATTTCTGGCTTGTTTGATCTGATTAAAATTCTAAAGCATCTCAGAGCTGTGGAATCTGACCATACAGGAAACACAAAGCGAGTTTCAAATGGGCTGTAAACATCAAAGAAGCAGTTTAATACTGACCAATAGGGTGAAAAGTCTCTGGAAGAAATTTGGCTCTGCTAGACTACCCAAGCTCATAAAAATGATTTTGAAAATACCAACAGCTTTTGTGTACCACACATCAATTATGTGTAGACCACCTACTGGCTACTGGGTACAAAGAAGTCATTGCTATTAAATGGTTCAACTCAAGGACACTCATAAAACTGCATTGATAAGATTCTAAGATTTCCTTGAGATGTAGTCTAGGGTTGAATGTAAATATATAGATGCCATGTTTTATTGAGTATTGCATCTTGCTTAAATGATGATGATGACAGGGAGACAAGTGAGGCTGTCTCAGGAAACTACAATTTAAGACATTTAAGCCACAAAGTAACAGTAAGTTGCAACAAAACCTCAAGGTGCCTTGAATTTTGGTAAAACAAGATACTCTTGTGATGCAAATGATATTTGTTTTGGCTCGTAGCCATGGATACAAAATTTTGCAAAGTCTTTTTCTTTCTAAAAGAACTAATTTTTGTCCATGATTGAGTTACAAGTATTAAAAGTTAATAAATATTGTCCAGTTGTTTAAAATATCGTCCCAATTTTCTCTGAGCTTACCCTACCTTTGAAAATTTCAAATTGAAAATTGTGAGAAAATTTGACTTTCTTTCTGTTAAACTAGCCATGCAAATTTGAATCCACTATGTGTCAAGTGTTAAAACACTCACTCTGTTTCCCCTCATGCATAATTTCCCTCAAATCTCAAAACCCTGCCCTTTTTGACAATTATCAACCTTATGGTTGTTGAACACAATGTCAGTCATCTACGAAGGTGAATTCAAAAGTTAAAATATAGCTCTCCCTTCTATTAAAGGAACAGGGTCCCCAAATTTACAATCCCCTAAACAAAGATGCATCTTACTACCACTGCCAGCGGGTCCCGGGGACGACACGTAAATCAGTACGGGGTAGTACACACTATTTTGTACTGTACGTCTTGCCCGTCGAGTCGTATCGATATAGGGGCCTGTGAAAACATCTTATGCACACACAGTACTGACTAAAACTACTCACCAAAATCGCTGAATATCTCAGCTCAGAGCTCCTGACAACCTCCGCATGGTGTCATTTAACAATTATTATCTTTTAATAAAGACCAGAAATGACATACACAACTCAGTATGTGGAGGGATTTTACGTGTCCGAAGTCGATCTACGGGCATGCACAGAACTAGTCTGCTCCGGAACACTGCCCATAGTGTGCATACGCGAATGCACGGTGCCGGTGCCGGTGAGAGGCACAGCTTTGCATCGACGTGACCCGCGGCAGTACTGTACGTACCCGGAAGTTAAAAATAGACTGTACCAAAGTACCAAAGGGGTGAACGCTAAAAAAATATCTTAAATGAAATTAAATTGATTTGCAAAGGTAAGTAGTTTTGAACACTTTTTAAGTGAATAAATTTCAATAATTTTCGTTATAAATGAAATTTGCTTCACTGTACAGCAAGTACGTTTAATATTATGAATTTTTAATGAAAAAACGTGAGTCACGTTTCCCCACACACAAAAACGAAGTGCCTCAATTATATGCATAACCTTCACAATAACCATCAAAACCCCCTAATATTTATCAGAACTGTTGCGAAACTAAGGAAATTCCTATTGAAAATTGCTCAGATAAAGCATACATTTACTTGCAATAAATTCCTGAAGTCGTGAAGCAACAAATGAATACGACTAAAATTACAGCAAAAGTATTACTTGTGAATTAAGTGAATGCGTCACAACATCCATTACCAAAGAAGGAAGGTCATTATCCCCGATGATTTAAGTCGTAAAACAAGCCGACTCAAGAGTTCACTTGCAGGTACCGGTAAGACTAGTTCAACGAGCCACCATATTCACCTCTTTTTTTGTCTTTAGAATGTCACGAAAATGCTCTGGCGACTGAAGCATGTCTATGCTTTAGCGCGGGAAATCCCCTCCATTACCCCTGCGAGTCCCAATTCAATGTCAAGAAAAGCGCGGCCATAGCGTCATCAAGTTCATGGCACTGGAAGGGTGCCGAGGTTTTTATTGTTCAGTGCATGAAGCGTCCGGGTAAAGATTTGTAATAGCTGTTTTATCATTGTTATTTTGTTTTTATAGTGACTTGTTTTTTTCATAAAATCTGAATCCTTTTTGCAGTTTGTTTTATATGCCTGCCAAATTCCCGGCACAAACGTTCTGTTCCGAGGGGGGTGGGATTGGAGCAAAATCGGAGCCCTGCAAGAGGTAATGAATATTTCAACAGCTTCCCCCTCTCTCTTACTTCCATGTTTGTACCTACCTTTTCCCTCCATAAACCCAACTTCACAAAACAAGTTTCAAATGGAAAAGTTCTTCGGAGCTTTCACAAGCTTCTAGATCTCTTGCTATCATCACCACACACAAAAAAAATACGAGACGAGACAAGAGACACACACAAGGCACAGTTAAACATGATAACATAAAAACTTGTAAACATTGACACCTTTGGTTTCAATGCTCATATGTAACATAATCAATGTTACTATTTATTAATTCATTCATGGAAATTAAATAGATGAGAACTCATATCGTTCAGGTGCGGACAGTTTGGCAATAATTGTGAGGTGTTACAGCATGGTGCTTCATAATAACAGCTTCACATAAGCTCACATAACATAACACTTGTCTGATATTTAAAAGGACAAATGAATAAATAAGATCATGGTTATAAATATGACACCAGTCATGAAAGGAGCAGGGGATATTTTAACATCAAAATTGCTTACAAGGAATGTTGGCACTCTGCGATTTGGTGGCTGTTTAATTTGTAAAAACACAGCATTAAGTGGGAGATGGGAGTAGTCTTTCATCCATCCACAGGTAAATATTGTTGTTTACATAAAGTTAAATAGTTAAAAAAAATTGACTGCCATTCGTAGCATGAAATGCACAATGTTGATGACTGCTGTGCTAGACAACACCATGAAATTTTGTCATCATTCAATCAGAACCGAAACGCTTTTTGCGCATGCAACTTGTATGGAAGGGAACAACTTGCCCACCATGAAAAAGTTTTGTCATGATCTCACAAGGCACTGAAATGTGTCAACGACGGGCTCTTGGAGTAATGGATATAGGATTGGCAACAATCTACATGGAGCAAAGCTACCAATCCTGAAACCTAGTCACAGTGGAGCTGGCTTTACGGTTTCATTTTTCTGGACTCTGGTGCCAGCTGAAATTTAAGCCTAAGCTTCAACTCAAGGCTTAAAAAGATTGAATTAAAATGACTTGTCTCTTACACAATTAAAATTAAGCTCCGATGTAAATTTCAAAAAAACTAAAGTTTTGCCACTCACAATTGAACCTGATGAAAAGGTTCATCAACTGAAAAGAACGATTTGCCGGCAAATATCTATGTTTAATACATCAAGTCAAGAGTCTATCATTAAAAAAACAGGACAGCTTCTCATTCAGTTATCAATGTCCAATACTGATGAGTAAAATTTCCATCCTGAACATAATGCAAAAGACTGTCCTTCAAATCTGAAGCCAACTTTGCATCTTGGGCACAAGTCATCCCTGCTAAATCTTTAAACTTCTTTCTGGTTGGTTTGAGATAACTCCAGTATCTAAAATGAGCTTTCAAAGCCAATACTACGCAGGCTCGTTGTGGGTGGGGGTGGGGTGGTCTAGCAAGCAGCTGACCCCCCCATAGGAATAAAAATTATGTATTCTCACAACAGTATTGTCACCCCGAGCCAATGTATATGTATTTACGACTAGCAGAAACCTAGCCCTAGCTCTAGACACAACTCAGGCACAGCCTTTCTTGACCGTCAATTTAAGACAGAGGGTCTTTGGCATGGGTAGACTTGGAGAAATCAGGTCCCCACCATCCATCTTGGTGTCATGTTCATCATCAGCCTCATCCTTGTCAAGAATTCAGTTATCAGAATTCAGAACCACTGGTGACTATGAAAACATCATATTGCCTAACCAATGCCAATATTTTAAAATATTCTCATGTGGCTCCAACAGTTAACGTTTGAAAGTGATTAAGGATGAAAGCAAATTGGAGGCAAAGCTGATTTTGGAGAAACATCCAAAGGGGGACACCTCCTTGGTAAACAATGACTCCTTGAGTGATAATGGTACATGTGAACCAGTGACGACACTCCCACTTCTAGACTGGTTCCCAAGCTTTCTTTAAAGTTCAACACATGATATCAAACAAGAGGAACCAGCCTACATGTAGCTCTCATTGGTACTGGTTGGTGAAATACCTTCTCTATACCACCTTAAGGCATGTATAACAACAAAGCCAGCCAAAACAGCAGCCAAATGGTAAACAACAGGAGTCAATTGAAGGGAACATTTAAAAATATACTCCTGGTTGATAATCCCCGATAATGCCCACTGTTTTACCCTCTGAAATCCTTGTTTATATATAGTATAACACAAATGTCTGGTCATATGCAACAATCAAAGGGCACTGCTGAAAACGGTGGAGAAAAAAATCTTTTTTGAGACCAAATTCTCCAGCCTCACTCCCAAGAAAAACTTTTGAGGGAGTGAAACAAGAAAATATTTCTTCAAATAAGAATTACTTTTTTACATTTGGAAATGTTTACTCTCTATACATCTTTTCCAGGGAGTGAAGAAAGAAAATTTGGTCTCAAAATAAGCATTTTTGGAACCACTTGTAGCAGTGTATGTATACCAATGAGCCACTTCAGTAGTTCAACAAGGCAAGGTCAATAAAACCTAATCAGGTTGAATATGTTCAGTGCCTGTGAGTGAAGATGGTTGCACTGACAGAATCCACGTTGTACATGGATGATAACAGGTGTGTCTTTGAATGACCACAGATGAGGTTCATCTTGAGCATGCATTATTGAAATACCAAGTGGCTCATGGTTGTAGTTTTACACCATCTCAAATCATTACCAAGAGAAAAAAATAGCGCCACAAGAATTTTCAATTCATATAAGAGCTCAATTAGCTATTGCCTTGCAGATTTTTATAGCTCAAGAAAGAAAAAAAAATTACAGTGTTTTACTGTGCTGCATGTGACCTTCCGGTCAATATACATTTTATCAACAGCAGCCAATAAGCAATTTAGATGATGTCATAGTCGATGCCCCTGACATACAAGGGCACACATATAGTTAATATGATTTGTTCCATAGTTTTTATATCTTATAATATAATCATATATCCATGATAGTTTGATACATTATTATGTAAGCAGTACATTTGTACACAGTCATAAACTATGACTAAATATGTTTGGAACTTGTGACACAAGAACCAGGCAATTTGTGACCCTGTTCGATTGTTTTGTAAAAAAAATACTTGAGACTGTTCATAAGGCCAAAATACACGAAGGTTCAGTGAATTGGAAATGAGGACAGAGGGACAGATTGTTCAAATTTCAATTGGATAAAAACCAAAGTTCAATTTCTCATGACTTAGTTGTAAATAAATTGTGACAAAAACTTGAACATCTATGAAATGTTTTTAAATATCGGACATTACAAAGTATTACATTAAGTAATGAGAATTTTTGCATACATGGGGGAATTTTCAGGGGAGGAAATACTGAAAACTTGAGAGAATTTAAACCAAAAAAATTACAAATTGGGGAAAATGTTTGGGACTTAAAATAAAGCACCATCAGAACTTTTTGTTGAATTCCAACAACTTCAGAGAGATGCTGGGAGGTGGTGGGGGAGAGGATTGTCAAAGATAAGGGAGGCAGGCACAACTTATGGGAGACCTCTTTGAAATCTCTCTCGTACTGATGCCAAGCTCACTAATAGTTTCAGTCTTGCCTTTGGCCTCATTATAGAGTTCCAATTTGGCCACATATCCAAGTCTAACTTTTGACATTCAAAATTCTAGATCTGTCAGCCAACACATTACCACTGCAAATTTGCTGTCTGGAGTTTCAAGACATTAAAACTCAGGGAAGTAGGTCAATACATTTGTCTTTTGTTTAAAATACACCGAGTACCTTTGTCGTAGAAACCAGATACTTTGATTATTCTCTGAAACACTGGAGGCCATGTCTGATAACTTGAATTGTGACTCTTCAAAAAAAGATATACAGAGGGAAATCGAAGATCAAAGAGAAAAATAAGCAAATTTTCACCCAAAATACTTTCTCAAAAAAAAAACTAGGATGGACTTTTAAAATCTTTTTACTGCTTTAGGCTTGTTTTGACACAAAAAATAACAACAATTTGCATATCATTCAAATCCCAATTCAGTATTAACAAAAAAAGAACCCAAAATCAATGTTTAATATTTGACACTGTTAAACATGTCAGGCGCAAAAAAAAGGAAAAAATCTACTATTTGAGGGTTCGTGCTCTTTTGAACTTTTTAATATGTCAAAATTTTTGTTTGTATTTTAAACTGAAGGAAATTCAAAGTTATGAAAATTACAAATAAAACGATAACACACCTTTTTTCATTGGAAGACATGAATAAGACTTAGTTCTTATAAATAAGATTTTTAAAATAATTTTTTGAGTATTTTTCAGTTTTTAAGTACGCATTTTGGATTTTTCTGTTTTTTTCTTTCTTTTTAAAACTTATTTTCTTAAAGTATTTTGACTTCTTGCATGTCTGTTGTTTCAAAACAAAAAGCTAAACAAAAGTACCATTACTGAAAGAAAAACCACCTCCGACAAGACAATGATGTGATAAATCCAATTCAGTTAAATGCAATTCCTAAACAACATAAATCAAACAAAGTTCACTTATTGTGACGAGAATAGGAATTTTTAAAAACTTTTCATTGATAACTTTCAACATACAAAGTAAAGTAAAATCTAGTTGTGCATTCTGCATTAACTAGACCTCATGATCACGTCCCCCCCCCAAAAAAGGTCATACAAATTACAGACATGGTCTCCAGATGCTGCACAGCTTCAGATGGTTTAAAAAACCCAATTTTATAGACAAACCGGGGGAGATACCACAACTACAACAGTATCAAACTTGCTCTCCAAGGTTTTTATTGATTTAAGCCCAGGTGTGAAGCAACTGTTCACCACCTGTCAAAGAGTGCCGTGTTGCCACAGTAACAGCTTCTATCCCCTAGTTATTGAATTAGTCTGTAGTTCATAGAAGTCTTCCGAACCTAACACTTTCAGTCCCTATGAGTGGCATATCTAGTAAAGGGATGAGGGAGAACTAACTTTAATAAGGCCGTCAGAGTGAACTGGCTATGGCTAGGAATAACGCACATCTCTACGGAAAGGGGCTTCAGTCGCTAGCCACAGGCTTTCATAGGGGTACGTGTTATGGTATACCAGGTCCAAGCCACAACTTTAAAGGTGCCTTTCCATACATATACGTATTTTGGGTGGCGTTGCGTGGACGATGCATACATGCGTTTCACTTTCAAGGAAAGATGTCGAAATCACCCGTATGTGGAAAGGTACCTTTAGTCATCTAACTCTCCAAGATGCCATTTGTTTTTGACGGGTGACTGCCTTTCCAGTGTCTCGCGCCAGTGACCCTGTTCACTCTTTGAACCAGCACAAACCAAACACTGTGCAGCTACCTAACGGCACGTTTGAGTTAACAGGGACATTAAGTCTCTTGTTGCTGAGGTTAGCTAAGATCTTCAGCCCAAACCAACAAAAGACAAGATGATGGGTTCTGGCAGGCATGAAGTGATACTGTTTAGATCAAATGTTCAAGTCTTTTAAAAAGCTTCAATTTGAAACCTTGCAACCAGGCTTCTCATGAGCCCCCAACCAAACCTAAAATCCAAAGATTCCTGTAACCCTACATCACAACAGGTTTCTCAGGAACTCACATCAATCTTCAAAAGCAGGCACTCCAGAAAACCAATGCGCATTTGAACTTTCAAGGGGATTGAAGTTCCCATGCAAAGTAATAAGCGTTAGACTTTAATTCCTCAATCCTACAAAACCCTTCAAAGCCTGTTAGATTTGAAAGAATTATTACAGATTAGGGCAGGATGAAATCTGTAGAGGTTTAACCCCCTCAATCCCAGACAGGATATACCACTCTGATCTCCTTTACGATAAAGGGCACTGACCGTAGTGTAAAAATACATCTCCCTATTATGCATATGTCAGTAGTGAAGCTGGTCTGCATTCAGTTTCTTAGAAAGGAATACTGTCTTCAGGCCTGGTTTCGTCTCATTGTCTCATTGTCTGATGCTATCATAGGCTGCGATCAGTCCCTTGATGTGACCTAGCTTGTTGTGGAGTTCCCTCCGCCGAGCCTCCTTCTTCTGGTACTCCTACAAGAGATGCAAGGAAGGTGAAGTTATCAAAACATATCAAAACAAATATCCAAATAGTGGTATCAGATTTCCCCATTAGGTTGACTTGTCACAAAATTACAAGACTTTGAGTAAACTGACAATGCTCATTGCATCATTTTTGACATCTAACTGTCACATTTCCCAAGAAATTGTTTGCAGGATTAAAAAGTTACTAACTAAGCAATATGTAAAAAAAAGAGGTTAAAGGTCAAGACTGACATACATATATAACAATGCACAGGTGATATTCTTGGAAAGCAAAATTATCTAAATACAAAAAAGTTTTGCTACTTCAGTTACAGAATTCCTGCTCTAACCCTCTGAGGTATTTTGGAGAAAAATTCTGTCAAATGCACAGCATGCAAGAGTTGTTAAAATCGAGGACCCCACTCAGTAACTACACGCAACAGGTTAACGATCCCCAAGGCTAAACAGCATCGACATTCTATACCTTCCAGCCATCGCAGGATCCAACAGTGTGGCACTGTTCAATGGGACTAGCTCTCACTGTCTTGTGATTGGCAGTTTGTAATAGTCAAATACAGCAAAGCCCTCGTTACTGATGGGTCAGGGTTGTGGTAAGCACAATAATAACAGGGACTAGAATTTGAGTTTATTTACCGCTTTAATTTTTTCATATTCCTCGATGACTTTCTTCTTGATGTGGCGGTACTCTTCGCTGTCTTCAGGTGCTCGGTGAAGCTGGTTTTTTAACTTGGTAAACTTCCGATTGACATCTTCGACGTAGGCATGCATCTTCTTATATTCTACATACTCCGTGTTGAATATGTCCTTATAGTGTTGTTTCTGTTCGTGGGAGGTGATCGTCATGAATTTACTGTACAAGTGTAAAGAACAGAAAAAGCAGAAATGAGACAAATCTATAATCGGTACATGGGAGATAAATGCTCTGCCAGCCCATGCAAGACATTCAACTTGGAGGGCAAAAAACCCCAAAGAAATTCTATTTCAACGTCAAGCACAATACTGTCGTTGAGTCCAACTCAAGTCATCGAGTCACATGCCATGTCACAAGCAGATCCAATGAACGGTGACTAATACACTCCTTCGTCATTGTCAACTTACAAGTGTCACTGTGACTTAGAAGCATCACTGTGACTTACATGCGTCACTGTGACTTACATGTAGGAACGCTCTTGTGACTCGTTCTCTGTAGGGACTTGTGATGGACTCGACTACACCGACCCCACACGAGTCCTTTTTAAATAATTATTCTTGCATCACTAAGAGAATAAATTTTGGGTATCAATGTCATACATTTCCCATGACACTCTTCAATCTGTTGTGTCCAAAACAAGCATTGCTGGCTTAGGCTAAGACTGATCACTACAGTATGCTTATGAACAAAAAGAAGCCATAGCCAAAATACCACCCACAAAGACATCAAAGTTGGCAGCCTGCAAAGGACATTGTGATGCAAATTTATAATCTGCAGCTGTATGTGAAACTTATTCGAAAATCAAAAATGAAAACCATATTATTATAACCATTAGCAACAAATTATCTCTGTAATCAAATTAAATATCCTTTCTATCATCCCTAATCACTTCCTGGACACTAAAATCACTTCAGATTGTAACTCACTTTAGATAATCCGGCCCGCTTGATGTTGAAGACACGTCACTGGGCGGTGACTGCTTCCCAACCACAACTTTACTTTTGGTTTCCATCACTGGTTCCCGGCACTTGGGGTAATCCTTCTCGTCAGGTTTACCAGCCCGACAGTAGTCTGGCGACTGTTTGGTCGTGCTGGTGACGTCGTCTTTGGAAGGCGGGGAATGTGAGGATGTGGTCCTGTCGGGGGTGGGGCTTAGTTTTTTAGTGTTGTGGGCGATTCGAGTCTTTTTCGGCGGTTTGTAATCAACAACATCTGGCAAGAGAGGTCTTTTATGCTGCAAACAAAACAAATTTCTTGTTTAGTCCTTGCTCAAATCGGTGGTGGGCATTTGGATTGCACATGGAGTGTCACTCTACAAACACGTTTGTGAGATTTGTGAGAAGATTTACTTAAAGCCCTTCAACGATGATGGAAACACCCAAAGAAAAGCCAATAACTCTCAGAAATGTCAATGGCTGCACCTGGAAAACTAGCGATGCTGAAAGTGGGTACTTTTGAATACATTTGACAAATACTACTTAATAATCCATACCCTCTTAGAAAAAACAAACCAACCAAACGTTGATGTGGAATTGACAAAACGGTCAAGAAACAACTTACTCAAGCAGGTAGTCCATCTTTGTTACAGACACTCAACAATAGTTTATGGAGCATCAAAAGAGGACAAACCCATTTTCTCATTTTTTGTAAGTAGATTTTTGGGATTTTGGACTTTGCGTAAAGTATTTTCAAAAATGCAATTTTCCGCTAACAAAAATTTGAATGTAACTTTAAGAAGTCCTCAGGCACTTCAAAAGTGGACAACTAGAAACTTCAAATTTCCACGAGCAAAATTTATTTGATGCTCCAAAAGAGGACAACCCCATTTTCGTTTTTTTTTTAAGTTGCACCACCCCTTTCATAAAACCCATTTTTCTGCTAGCAGAAATTTGGATTTTACTTTGACGACAGCGGGGTGGTCCAAAAGTGGACAAGTTGAAAACTGGAATGACCGTAGTGCTCCCTACGTTCAGAATGGAACGGTCTTGGGAAGATGGGCAGCCAACATTAACGGTAGAGGGCCAATGGTCTGACGGATGGCGTCAAAGCTCAGAAAAGAACATGTGAATGACTCCTATTGAGAAACTTGCAAATAGGAGAGGGGCCACCCAAGCCTGACAGTTCTTTATGGTATACCGCAAACTTCTGACTTCCCAGCCCACCGTGTACATGTAATTAGAATGACAGTGGCAGCTTGCTGTCAGGAATTTCCATTTTAAATAAATGAGCACACGGTAAAATTTCCTCTAAACGATGCTAGCTGTAATAAACCAGTGTATCCATGTCCAGTAGTATAATGAAATTTGCTATGGAACGATAAAAGGTTGGAATTGAAAAAGTCCTGTCAAGAGAACAAGCTAAGTGCTGTTCAATCAAGTGAAAGAGAAAGTAAAATGGTAAACATTAAAATGCAACTTGAACTTGCTGAATTAATTTAGACATCCCACAAATTCCAAAACACGCATTCAGCCAATAATTCCAATTACAGAAAGGATAGCCACGAAGAAAATTAATCTTTCAGACAGTACACCAGTCGGTCACTGATATGACGTCAGAGATTTAATTTAATAGTTATCATTCAAATCTTTGTTCAAGTGTGGGCAGTTACAGTGGAGGTCTGGGTCATTAATATGAAGACAAATGATTCAAAGTGACAATGATTGAGATATTAATGCAATGAATACACAAACGTGCAAGTGACTGCCCAGAGCAGTCATCAGATACAGGTACTGTGAAAAGCTAAAAATGGCAGGACTACAAGTTAACAATAAGGTTTTTCAATTGGTTCATCACAGCGTTTTCAATTACAATTTTCTATTTCTGGTTCAAAGATTTTTCAGCCTTTCTCTAGCGTCTTCTGAAGGGAAAGCTTTATTTTGACAAGTGGTTTGGGATTAATCAAATACAAAAATGTAACTAAATAATCAATACATAAATCAATTATCGAGTAACTAAACAATAATTTACAGCCCTATAACACAAAGGAGTTCTTTGCAAGAAGATAATGGAGCTCACTAGCTGACATGTCAAGTGTCAAGCAAAGAGTCTACTGCTCCAGAGTGCTTTTATTCTTCTTACCGATATCGTGGCTTTGAATTTATTGGCAGCAGTCCGAACAGGATCAGATTTAGAGACAGGTCTCTTCTGGGCGACATCTTTAGACGACATCGTGGAGCTGAGCTTAGCTGATGCTGATCTCGCCGAGGATGAGGAAGATGACAGTGAAACGGATGGAGTGGAATTGGTGAAGGAGGAATGTTCTTTCTGATTGGAACTTCTCAGATTTCTGGGGGAAAAGCAAAAAACAAGCTGGTGTTAGAAGCTGAATGTGCCCGCCAAATTTGGAAAATTCAGAGGTGTACATGTATGTCGAGCAAAACGCTTGTGTGCGTGGTCCCTACAACTAAAACTATAAACATCTGGGAGTCAACAAGGAGGCTGACATATCAGGTTTCCCAGACTGAAGCAGGTTACTGTCATGCTAATCTCCTAACAAAAAAAATGCATTATCCTGATTTGGACAAGCTGTGCACATGTTCCAAACATTTGCTATTCTTAGATGATTAGTGTTTCATAACAAAAAAATTGAAAGTGTGTTTTGGAAAAGGCTGAATCTGAGTGATTTCATGACCACTATGGAAATATTTCCTGTAAGGACTAGGCTTTCTTTACAAGTGTAATTGTTTGCCAGTTAGCAGATGCACTGTTTCATTCCAAATTGAATGCATTGGAGGATATAAGATTTGGCCAGCACAGACTCCAAACGGAGAGTGTTAGAGGGTATATCAGATGATAAACAGGAGCACTCATTTGCTTATCAGAGCTGCAGAGGGTTTTGTGGTCTAGGAATTTCTCAGAGTGAATGGTAATGATCAATTCTACTACGATGCAACAGACACTGAGGGTCCATGGGATAAACACTGCACATTTCCTGATGACAAAATACTTCTACATCTTGGTGGGAGTGGCTGTGTAACGGTTACGGAAAGACGATTTTGAATTCTGGAACAGAGTAGGAGTAATTAACCCCTTCACGCTGGGAGACGGCTATACCCGCTTGGAGAAAAGTCTAATTGCTGGGAGACGGCTATAACCGCTTGGAGAAAAGTCTAATTGCCGGGAGACGGCTATAGCCGCACCTGGAGAAAAGTCTAAATAGACCATGTGAACTTAGCAGGCGCTGCACGGTCCGCTGTGGTCGAGCGTCATTGGGTAGTTAGCGTTGTCGCGTGGGCGAGGCAAGTGCTGGGTGTCTGGTATTACGTTGGATGGGATCCAAATACCCCAGCTTGAATCACTGCCACATAGAACCAGGCTGCGTGCAGTGTAAGACCCATCAAACTAGGCAGACAAGGCCCGGTGGCCAAGCTAGTTGTCTGTGGTTGCCGTTAGCAAAATTAGGTAATAAATCCCGGCCAGATGTGGTAAAAAAATCCTGCCATCAAGGGGTTAACACGATTCCACTTATCCAACACGAGAACACTCCGATCAATGTGCACATCATTACTGGAAATGGTCAACACTGCATGACTCCGTAAGGCAAAAAAAAATAAATAAATAGTCGGTCTCTGGTCAGTGCGCGCGTCAATTTTGAACATGCGCTTCAATTTTTTTTTCAAAAGTTTCAAAACAGCGCCCTCTATTTCTGCACCGCCTAAATGTTTGCCAGTAGACTGATTCCCGGCCACAAGTCCGCAATTCGGAAGGGCAATTTGTTCAAGGATATTCGTGGGTAGCTTGTATCGGGTGATAGATCCGTTACAACTGCGTAATGTTAATGTCGAACACAAACGGTACACCATAGATAGGTTACAAAGTTGCAGCCAGCTGATTAACAACAATGGCAGCATGACGTGCGACTACAAGCCTTTGCTCTTTGATTAAATATGCCACTCATTTCCGTGTTTGTTGCCAGTCTTAAAAAGCAAACCCCATCCGCCCCTAAAAAAAAAAACCAAAAACCAAAAACCAAAACAATGCATCACCGCATTAATTCTGGAACTTTGGTCTGACCAGAGACCGAGCCTTTTTTTCTTGGCCTAACATAGCAAGCATGCATGTCTCAACACCATCATATCATTCCATATCTTCACAATCAACTCTAGAAACTTTCTATTCCTGTCATGATGCAGGGTGCCTCACTCATTCAAAACTTTCTTCGGCTCACCAGCTAACACTTATCTCACCCCCATCTTCAAAGCAATCTCGTTGGTAAAAAGTCACATGGCTGCCATATCAACCTGTAAGTTTGAATCGGACCTCATGTGGCGGGAGAGGGGGCATTGTATTGTGACCTGCTCCTGTTGAGAGGGCAGTCAAGATGACTTGCCTTAATAACTGCCTATCTGCATCATTATACAACGGCCAGTCTTCCTGGATCTCGCTGTACAAGTGTTTGTGCAGCATGTAGGCATTATCCCGCGATAACGTCGCAACCTGAAAACAACAAAGCACAACGACCAAAATGACCCTTTGTGGAATGGTGTGAACAGAGACGTAAGAAACTAATGAACGAGCACGTTGACTATCCAAAAATGAAGTGGGGCAAGGTCTGTATGCTGCATTTGTAATTTAACAATTATATTTAGATTCATATCCATCATATTATACTCTTTTGAATAATGGCACAACGCTGATACTATGAGGTGGAGTCTGGGATTAAAGTCTGCAAGTAACTGCGTCTGCAAACTCTGATGATTTCACATCAACATGTGAAGCAATGTGAAATTCCATTTCAATTCCTAAACAAAGGAAACTCATCGGCAAGTGAATGTATTTTTCCAATTGTTCTCTGGCAAATAAATTATCATGTTATTGTAACCATACAGCTACATTTCTGAAGTACCTTATTTAACTTCAGCTTAAAATGTTTACCACTAACAGATGCCGTGCAAGCACATATGTGTGTATACTCATCAAACAGTACAAACCCACTTTTCTGCAACACTTTACTTGCAGCACAGACTGGTGATGCAACCCATAAGAGCAGCCATGCACTGCCATGACTGTGCCTTTTTGAAAAACCACACTGACTTATTGTATGCAAGTATGACCTGTGGTACCAGTGTGCAATTGTGGAAATATTCAAATGAAGAGGATTCCACATCATGGAAAAAAATCCACAATGAGCAGGTCCCGAATTGGTCTAAATGCTGTCTCGTTCTCTAACGTTCAGCAAGTGATTGGCCAGATCGACCTCTTGACTCACGACAGGGGTCAACTCAACCCTAACAGTCCCAAATCCTCCAATTTCAATATGATTTTGACATACACCCTAGGGGGTTAGGGTTCATTTAAATACTGACCTGTGATAAGATACTACTAAGTTGGTTCTTGTCCTTCATCACAATGCCATCCTTTTGTAGCCTCAGGATGAGTTCAGGTTTCTTGTACGGTCTCAATGCTAAGAGATGGATCACACGGTCTCTGCAATCGAGACAAAGAATACTGAGTTAGTTCCTTCGCTACAGAGAGTGTCATCAGTTTCTACAGCAAAAATATCTACCATTCTAAACACTTGTATTAAACTACAATGGCCCTTTACCCTTGTGCAATCTCAATTACAATTACAACCGAACCCTTTTTCAGGTTTTCTTTGCAATAAGCTTCACAATCTTAGGCACTGGTAAGCAGGTCATGCTTTTGAGTCACACCTGAGTTCTGCCTGACCAAGCAAGTGAGTAATTTTTCTTGTGAGCCGTTCAACAGCCGCACGGCACATTTGTTGGAACCTTCAACACCTACATGTAGAAACCTGACACACTGACAACCTTGCAGTTAAGG